TAAATCACCATTAAATCACCCATTAAATTTGTAAATCACCATTAAATCACCCATTAAATTGGTAAATCACCATTAAATCACCCATTAAATTGGTAAATCACCATTAAATCACCCATTAAATTGGTAAATCACCATTAAATCACCCATTAATTGGTATCATCAATAGCTATGGAGCTATGGGACTTTTCCATGACCATCCAGCTATCGGAGATCCATCCCATGATTCAGCATTGGCAGCGATCAACGAAAGCCATGGCCTTTTTCAGCCAGATACCCTGCAAGAAAATGACAATCTGGCTGGTAGATATATGGCTATGAGATAGAAGTGGCTGAATTCCATGGTTTATAGCAGATATTATAACTGGTTGGTGGTTTCAACCCCTATGAAAAATATGAAAGTCAGTTGGGATTATTCTTCCCAATATATGGAAAAATAAAAAAAAATGTTCCAAACCACCAACCAGCAACTTCTTAGCTGGTGATGATAGTCATTAATGGTGTATATATCCAATGACTATGGCTTATGATACATATCAACTATAGTATTCATAAAAATGACAACTTCTTAGCTGGTGAACGTAGATAATCCCATACCAAAAGACTGACTAAGAATTAGTTTCTACCCATCCAGTCGATTGACCTAAATATATGGCTATGAGATATAAGTGGCTGAATTCCATGGTTTATAGCAGATATTATAACTGGTTGGTGGTTTCAACCCCTCTGAAAGATATTAGTCAGTTGGGATGATTATTCTTCACAACATATGGAAAAAAACATGTTCCAAACCACCAACAAGTAGATAATCCCGTACCAAAAGACCGGAGGATTAAAGTACCCATCCAGTCGATTGACCGAGCGTTTCATCGCGACAAATCGCCGAGCGTCCGGGGCAAAAAGTCTGGCGCCTACGGCGCGAAGAGACGACGTTTTTTTCAAAAAACGACCTTGGCGGAGAACAATTTCTGTGGCGATTGGATGCGATTGGGGATTACATCAATACAATGTGGGGCCCCCAAGATAGCTAAGTTGGTTTATAACTACAATAAGTAGGGTTTATGGTACTTATGACTATAGTTACATGGGGTTTATGACTATAGTTACATGGGGTATGAAATAGGATTTACCCTCTGGTTATGTCAAACATAGCTATTGAAAATGGCCATTGAAATAGTGAGTTTTCCCATTAATAGCATGGTGATTTTCCATAGTTATTTGTATGTTTACCAGAGGGTACATCAATACCCTCTGGTTATTTAAGGTAGTTATGGAAAATGGATGAAACTGGCCCATAGAAATAGATGATTTATGATGATTTACCTATTAAACATTGTGATTTCCCATTAGCAAACCGTTAAATAACCAGAGGGTACTTCTTGGAGAATATGATTCAGAATATCAACCAATAATCAAACAATAATTGGTAATAACATCCCAAATTGTGTTGATATAGTTGATTGGCTGATACTATCAATAATTATTATTATTGAATAATATTATTGGATAATATTATGTAGTTCTTGGTAACAACATTGCCACACATTAAAATTCAACGATCATATGATAAGTTCGGGGATTATACTATCCCAAATCTACCCAATATATTGAAGGATATAAATTCCCCTGGAGGGAAGCAAGGGATGATTCTCTCTACTAGCAGCATATGAGGTCCGCATTTGTGAGGTCATACAAGGTGGTGCCCCCCCAGTTCTAAATTGGTCATAAGCCCATTAACTATAGATATATCACCTATAAACCATAGTTATTGGAGTTATTTGCACCAACTTAGCTATCTTGGGGGCACCACCTTGTAGGATTTTTTGTTCACACTCCCAAGCCCACACAGTCCACACGACTTTCCGCAATCACATTGTTCCTTCAGCGGTCCATCTTTGAGGAAACTGTCGTGTCGACGTCCCATTCTCCTATTGTATCCCCATGAAATATGTATGGGTCAAGATTAAGCACCTTGCAAACCACCAGATAGAAAAGTCTATGGTTCTCAGTATTAACATTAGTCTTAACCATCCAATTAAATGGGGATGTCCTAAAATAGTGGTACCCCCTAATCATCTAGTTTAATAGGATCTTTCATGAAATTAACCAGCTAGTGGGGTAGTCCCATGGCTATGGAAACAGGTCCTGGTTGGGGCACCCCACAAGTTCTGCTGCAGTCAACGACAATTTGAGCGATCTCCGCAATCCTATGTTCGCACCTTGCCGTGAAACGAAATGCGCTTCAAATGGAGGGAAATCGATCGATTTAGCATACATTTCAGCAACGAAATAAAAGTTTTAAGCAGAGAAAAACTCCACCTCCGCCATGTGAAGACCAAGAAAACCATCCGAAAAACCGTGAAAAGCCACATGGTTTTGGTGGTTGAACATGAAGAAACCGCAGATTGTCATCAAGAAAAGATAGTCCCTCTGGTAACGGTGGCAAGCTGGATTTTTTCCGAACTAAAGGAATGCTTATCTGGTTGGTGGTATACCTACCCCTCTGAAAAATATGAAAGTCAGTTGGGACTATTCTTCTCAATATATGGAAAAATAAAAGATGTTCCATACCACCAATCAGTAAATCATGACAATAATGACATTTTTTCAAACGTTGGGATGATGACATTCTCAATATATGGAAAAGTAATCCAGCCATGTTCCATACCACCAACCAGTTATAGCTGGGACAACAACACCGTCCATCTGAGCCATCTGAGCATGGGCCAGAAAGTCCCTACTCAGTTTTCAAAAGGAAATCGGAAGTTACAACAATCCTTACAAAGGTAGTGCCCCCAATGCACAATCCTTTGCTAACTTAGTTTATAATTTGGTGAACTGTTGCGTTTATGTGGGATGTAACTATAGTTAATAGGTTGTTGAACCAACTTATAAATTGGGGCACTACCTTGTAATAAACGAACAATCCTGTATGGTTGATGGCCGAGCTAGCGTCTAACCTAGCTGATTTCCTGGTCCCTCCAAACATTGCACCGGCAGAAAAAAAAAAAAACAATCTTGGACGCACCCAAAGAAAAGTAGAATAGCTGGTCGGGTTGAAATATGTTACAATAAATACATAAACAAATTAATCAATGAATCAATTAATTAACTAATATAAACTAATAATATAAATAAATGATAATAAATGTACATATATAGACGAGGTGAATCCATTAACTATAGCAGTTTGAAGTCAACTTAGCTATCTAGGGTTCCCCGCCGTGCATGTTAATATATAGACATACATATACCGATTTTTTTTAAAAAAAAGATGAAGCTGTACCAAACTACCCAACTTCATCATTCAGTTTACCCAAACATCCCATACCTTTTCTGCTTGTATCCCAACATATCGGTTTGTCTGAAAATAAGGTACACCAAAAAATTGATGCTTAATTACCACTGTGCCCCATTGAAACAATTAGTTTGGGGGAAAGCCCTATTTTCAGGCACACCCACATAAAAATGTCGGATTATCAGATGATATTGGTCAAAAATTGGTCTTAAATGTCTTAGAGCAACTGTATAAATTGGTAAACTAACATAACTATGGAACATCACCATTTTCAATGGGAAAACTCACTATACATGGCCATTTTCAATAGCTATGTTAAATTACCAGAGGGTATAAATTGGGATGGTTTACTGCTCAGTCTGGACTGGTTTTTGTGGTCCAATTTCTTAGTGCTTAAACCAAAGTATATATCACACAACAAAAATAGATCCCAAGTTTCCTGGATGGCCCGGCCTGGTAAACATACACAAAAATATTGAAAATCACCATGCTATTAATGGGTAAATCCATGTAAATCCACTATTTCGACTGGGCCAAACTTCAATAGCTTTTTTGTATGTTTACCAGAAATTATTGCTGACGTAAACATCCCCAGGGTTACCCTCCAACGTTTACAGTGCGCTGTGACAAGCCCACCATAGAAGTAGAGTAGACAAAAATCCCCGGGAAACCTTGGGAAGTTGTCCTCATCTTTTGGTATGTTTATCTCTGGATATCAGTGGTAAAACCTCAATATCCCACAGAAAAAATGTTGGTTATAGAACTTGAGTTACAACTCAATTTTCCTGGCTTCATGCTGACTTACATCCCCATGATCATTACCCTCTGGTAAACGTTTACAAAAAGCTATTGAAAATGGCCATAGAAATAGTCATAGCTATTGAACATGGCCATAGAAATAGTGAGATTTCCCATTCAAAATGGTGATTTTCCATAGTTATGTAAACGTTTACCAGACGGTAGTGGTAAAACCCAAAAAATCTCCAGGTCTCCCCACCCGGCTGGTTCCGCCGCAGAAGCAGCACAGACCGCGCGGGCGTTCCGGAGGGTCCTATGATGTTGACGCAGCGAGAAGCAGCCATCCGCAGCCACTATGAACTGTCGTAAAAATAAATAAGGTACTATATATGACTATAATCAGATAAACTATAGGATAAAACTATGAATTGTCATAAAGTATGGCTTTGTCAAAGAAAAAATCAGGTACTCCGGTACTTGGCTGACTCGTTATTATATCCCTATGAAATGCCCATATGCCCAGGGTATATCCCAAGTTTTCAGACACAGCCAAATCAACTTGAGGATAAATTTACAGAGGATTTACCCTAGAAAATTAGAGATTGTGTATCAAACATCATTAATGATTCTAGGAAATGACTATTTATTGAGATATAAACCATCCCCAATGCCCCAATGTTGGTGATTTATAAAATTGGGTATACCCCTATGACTGGGATGATGTTTTTTATGGCCACCAGTCATGGTTAACGGGATGGTTCATGGCATTCGGTGAATCCCACAGACGATTTCCGCGGCTTTCTGAGGTTTGGAGGATTACCCTCTGGTTATGTCAAACATAGCTATTGAAAATGGCCATAGAAATAGTGAGTTTTCCCATTAATAGCATGGTGATTTTCCATAGTTATGTGGCTGTTTACCAGAGGGTATATTCCATGATTTTCTTGGGTGTGGGTTTGGAGGATGGTTCCTATCAATGAGCCAGCTTCCCGACTGCTTAACCAGTGCAAGACACCCTTTTCAGAATGGTGATGTGGTGATGATTTTATCGCTTAGATGCATTGGACTCACACATATATCAACACATAGTTTTAATCGTTGGCGGTCAACATCTAGAAATCTAGAACTTGGAAGTGCAGTTCCAGCAATTTTTATGGATATGCAACCCTAGTTATAGAGGTTCCCGACTTATGGGGGGTTTGGTTCACCATGGTTACCCTCTGGTAACTTAACATAGCTATTGAAAATATACCATTTATAGTTGATTTACCTATTCAAAATTGTGATTTTCCATAGTTATGTTAGTTTACCAGAGGGTATACCATGATATCAATGATATCCCCATTTCAAAACTTCAACTGCACCCCAGAGAAAGTGTTCTTGGCATCTGCAAACAACTTCAAAATGTGGTTTCTCATGGTAGCAGGGCATCACACCAAGAACCCACATCTGGGACGGGAAACATGCAAAATAGATCAAAATTGGTGTATATTCCCGAGATAACCACAATACTCCTGAACATATTAAACAAACAAGACCCGCTTCTATGCGTTTAGATCTGGCATTGGCAGAACATCATATAATGTGGGCCCCTCTAGTTATAAATTGCTTTCTAGACCCCATGAATTAACTATAGTTACATAAGTAGTAATTATCATAAACCCATAGTTATTGGAGTTATTGGAGCCAACCTTAGCTATCTTGCGGGCCCTACATTGTAAGGGTTATGAAACAGTCATGTACCCTCTGGTTATTTAACATAGCCATGGAAGCCATGGCCCATAAAAATAGATGATTTTCCCAGCTAGAAACCTCCATTTATGGTTGGGATTTTCCATGTATAGCCCATATTTCATCCATATAATCTAGTGGGGATATGTGGGTATATTCCATATAAAGGGTTATGAAACAGTCATGCATATCGTGTTATATCCCAACCCTGGTGGATCGCAGCCACGGCCCCTGGGGCCCTCGTCCTGCTCATCGTCGGGCTGCTTCAGATCATCGTACGGCAGAAGCGGCTCCAGCCTGGTACCGGTAGGAACGGCAGAACTGCAGAATTCATGGGATAATCCGTTAAAAACATCAGGGTGATACCCTCTGGTAATTTAACAGTTTGCTATGGAAAATCACCATGTTTAATAGGTACATCAACTACTTCTATGGCAATTTTCCATAGCAAACTGTTAAATTACCAGAGGGTATATACAATTATATTGATATATTACAATGGTTCATTTTCTGGGGGTGATTCCACTATACATTTACCATTATTCCCGTGAGGTCGCAGTGAGGTCGCTACAATTTAGCAATCTTATAGGGGAAATGATGATGAATCAACAGATTTACAGATATCCTATTTTCAAACAAACTGGAGGACAAATTGCATTAATGATATAAATTATATGATATGATACATACTAGCAATGATACAATACAACATATATATATAATATATATATATATGTATTGTGGCTGAAATTAGTTTTTCATGGGTTTTGATATGTGTTCATATGGGGAAGTCAAGCTGGTGAGCAAACAAAAGCTCGTGAGTTCAACCCCCAAGAAGAAAGACTTGGTAGAATCAAATCCTAAAATAGCTATAATGGGATTATAACTTATACAATGGGTAAACTGATAAACCAACAAATCTTGAAGATGTAATTTGGATTAGTTTGGGTATTTCGCAGGAATTCACTCAGCAAGAATGGAGATCTAATGACAGATACTGACAACTACTTGGTATGATCCCATCCCCCGTTCACAATAAATTCCCATGCCAAGTCATGATTCCATCCGATACTAAAACCAGGGTTTCGTTTTGGCTCCAAAAAAAATCAGTGAAGGTTCCGGATTCCACCAAATCAGGGATATCACCAAACAACTCGTGTTGTTTTTTCTTTTTGCAGTCGTTTCATCCAGCTTTGACCTTTCATCCCAGGGTGGAAAAAAGCCCATTAAGGGGACGATCCCAGGTGCTCACAAGGGCCATGGCTATCGCTAATTTTCCAGATATCCTCATTTCAAGAATTGCTCATTGTTCCAGAATCCCTGGCTTAAATATCCAATATTGTTCCAGATCATATCCTGATTTCATTGCTTATCCATCTCAGATCCATTGCTTATCCCTGCTGAGTTTGAGAGGTCTCCCAATTTTCTGCCCCGCCGGGCTGAGCTCTCGGACGTCCCTACATCTTTCCCCTCCAACCACTCGAAATGCCAATCCTGCAGAGCGTGCAGCAACTCAAAATTTGTGGCGCGATGATTCCGGAATCAATGTGAAGATCTGTGCCAAGTAATGACAGTAAGTCATGGCAATAATGACACTTTTTTCGGTTTCACTGAGATTTGTTATATTAGTTTCCCTCAAATCAATTCTGGGCTTGGTCCATGGCTGGTATGTGAACATCCCAAGCAAAATTGGAAAGGGAAAACACCGACAACATGTTGTACATAGAAGATCTTCCTGACAGTCTTGCACCCGTCCATATTTCAGGAACCTTGGGAGAATGAACTTCTCTTAGCTCAACATGACCAGTCAGCATCTGGTCCCTAACAAAATCCCATAGGATCACATTGGAAAATGTTTAGCAACCTGGAAGTACCAAGCCAGAAAAGCGATGAATGCTGGGAAGACAGGCGCGTCATGGATAAATCATCCTTGTTTTCAGCAATGTGCATGGCTAAGATTGACTAATTTCACCTTAGATGTTCTGCAACTGGACCTCAAAGATTCCTCCAACATCACAATATGCAAACCACTAGCCATTCACATCTGGTTGGTGGTTTCAACCCCTCTGAAAAATATGAAAGTCAATGGGAAGGATGGCATCCCATGTACTATGGAAAATAATCCATTCATGTTTGAAACCACCAACCAGTCATCATATTTCAATGGTTAAAAACCCCATGTTTAGATGGTAACTCAAACCTCCATCTCTCCATCCCAGGCTTCAGGTCACTACGAGTTGCGGGTGATGGTTTTTGAGTGATCCCAATTTCTTAAGTGATGATTATAAGTCATAGGAATTCGATGTTCTCCATCCTCATGTCTCGCAACTTCGAAGAATCATCCAAAATCTCAGAAAAATCATCCAAAATCTCACAAAAATCATCCAAAATCTCAGAAAAATCATCCAAAATCTCAGAAAAATCATCCAACATCTAAGAAAAATCATCCAAAATCTCAGAAAAATCATCCAACATCTCAGAAAAATCATCCAACATCTCACAAAAATCATCCAACATCTCACAAAAATCATCCAAAATCTCAGAAAAATCAGCCAAAATCTCAGAAAAAATCAGCCAAAACCTCAGAAAAAATCAGCCAAAATCTCAGAAAAATCAGCCAAAATCTCAGAAAAATCATCCAAAATCTCAGAAAAATCATCCAAAATCTCAGAAAAATCATCCAAAATCTCAGAAAAATCATCCAAAATCTCAGAAAAAATCATTCAAAATCTCAGAAAAATCATCCAAAATCTCAGAACAAAATCTCAGAACAATCATCCAAAATCTCAGAAAAAATCATCCAACATCTCAGAAAAAATCATCCAACATCTCAGAAAAATCATCCAAAATCTCAGAAAAAATCATCCAAAATCTCAGAAAAAATCATCCAAAATCTCAGAAAAAATCATCCAAAATCTCAGAAAAATCATCCAAAATCTCAGAACAATCATCCAAAATCTCACAAAAATCATCCAAAATCTCAGAAAAATCATCCAAAATCTCAGAAAAAATCATCCAAAATCTCAGAAAAGATCATCCAAAATCTCAGAAAAATCATCCAAAATCTCAGAAAAATCATCCAAAATCTCAGAAAAATCATCCAAAATCTCAGAAAAATCATCCAAAATCAGATAAATCCTCCAAAATCTCAGAAAAATCATCCAAAATCTCCTATGACCTGGTGCTTTTTACGGCGACCAACGACCAACATTCGCTGCAAGGTTTCCAGTTGCTCCACCAACATTCGCTGCCAAGAAGAATCCAAAGCAACCAACAAAGGCAACTAACCAAACTGTCATGAATCCAGCCAGGCTTGAGATCCAAGATTCCTTGCCATAATGCTTCATGACATTCCTCTGTGGTCCATATGAATAGACACACATCAGAAGCGTGGACACCAGTGCTCCAACCAAAAATGATTCGGTGGCTGTTCCTTCTTGCACCACCAAATTCCCAATCAAAGCAGTCCAAAAAGATTCGAACAGTAAGAACAGGAACAAGGTAGCACCCGGCTTGCCAAGTGGGAAGAGTCCTTCGTACAAATATCCAGACTTGACCAAACTCGACAAAGAAAGTACCTTTCCACCACCTGAACTTGGGCCACCCTTTTCAGCTCCTCCTGTTTCACCTTCATCTTCCTTGGAAGATTTTGCTTCTCCCTTCATCCAGCTCTCAAACATCAGCATTGTGAGCAGTTGATGCCGGAATAGAGTGAAGATACGCGAATTTCAGATTTGTTTTCTCGGGCTTGAGCCAATCTCAGAAAAAATCATCCAAAATCTCAGAAAAAATCATCCAAAATCTCAGAAAAATCATCTCAAATCTCCTATGACCTGGTGCCAATGACGCGACCAACGCCCTGGTCAAAGTGATAAAAATCGGCCTTCACGGGCTTCGCCTCTTCGGACTGAATCTCCTCCTGGTCTTCGTCAAGCAATGAACAGCTGGATGATCATCCCAGACATTGGAGGCATTGGAGGTATCCTTAACAGATGGGAAAATTATAGATATGGATATGACACATGAATTTATGATGGGATATGGAATACATTGGAATACCATATGAATATCAATCCATATGTCCCATCATAAATTATAGATATGGTATACCCAGTATATATGGATTTCCGCTGAATTCAATGACATTGGGTTTGAACATATTGGATTATGAATGATAGTCCATTATGACATTCAGATGACATTGGATATTGATGTTGGTACAACGTGGGGCCCCTGTTTGATAGCTAAGTTGGTGAACATAACTACAAGAACTGTTGGGTTTATGGTAGTTATAACGAACTTTAGATGGGGCTATAAATCAACTTATAACTAGGGGGCTGCACATTAATTATACACAATGTCAGAAACCACCGCACCCTGACTTCAGATTGTGCATTGTTGTGTGTGTTAGAGCCCCGAATTTGATGGTTATAATATATACATATATAATCATATATAATATTGTAATATGTTATGTGGATGGTTGCGAACTCCTGCACAAGTTGATAGATGGGCAAATGTTCATTCTAATATATATATATAGTATAATTTCACGATTTGCAATGTTTCATCTTTACCAATCAATAGTCAACAACTGGTGCAGGATTTCTTCCATCCACAGTATGATTTAATCACTATGATAGTGCATCATTCTATAGTGTATCACTATGATGTTCATTCTAGTGATGTTCATGTTGATGTCATCAGTGATAGCAACATTCAAACATTCATAAGGTATATCTATATTTATAGTGATGTTCTGTTCGTCATAGTGATCTTTCTAATAGTATACTCACCAATAGATCATAATGATCGTAGTGATACACTGTGATAAACAGATCATAGTGATCGCCAGTGGGTATCCTAGTGATCATAGGAATTGCCATAGCATGATATACGATAGTGTTTTACATGTTTATCGATACATTTGCACCACTATGTTTCTTGAATGATTATACTATTTCTAGTGATATACATCATAGCGATCTGTCTAATTGTGTTCTGTTTAATAATTGGCAATGTTTGTGATTGTGATGATTATAACGGGTATCATTGAAGTGCTTATTGTCAACTTATGGCATTTATATATCACAATATACGTATGAATATCAATATAGATGTTTAGTGGCACACTATAATTTCTAGTATCATCTGATTTATAAATATTAGAATATCACAATGTACAATTTAGAGCGACGTACACTATGAATTATAGTATTCTAATTAGTATGGTATTGATTTATACCCACTATGAATTCTGATATCCATAGTATGTCATTGGAGATTGTCAGTATTGAATTGATAGTATTCTAATTAGTATGTCATTTATAGTTCCATAGTATTTTATCATATTTTAGTATGTCATTTATAGATATTTATAGTTCCATTATGTTCCATTAGTATGTCATTTTTAGTGTATTCGTATGTCATTCGAATAGTATTTTGGATACTCCCATAGTTCCAATGACCCCAAAATGACACATCTCTTCGGCATCCCAGCCCGCAGATCAGCAAAGAGCTTGCGGAGCATCACGTAGTCGGGACGGTCCTGGCGTTTCGCCACGTAGGCCACCCCGAGGTGCCGTGGGGTTGGAAGCCTTCCCTCATTGAGATAAAATGGGATCAACATGGATAACCCTGAAAAATGTTGCTTGGGTTTTAGATCAAAGGGGATACCCTCTGGTAATGACTAACCTGATCTGTCTGGAAAATCTCCCATAGGAATAGTGGATTTTCCAGCTAGAATCTTCAAATTGGGATACCCTCTGGCAATGAATAACAGTTTGCGAACTTGAAGCCATGGCCCAGTCGAAATAGTGTATTTACCCATTAATAGCATGGTGATTTTTTCCATAGTTAAACGTAAACGTTTACCAGGCCGGGTAACCCTGAAAAATGTGAGTTGGGTTTTTAAGGAGGGCTATTTTTTTTGGGAATTTTTCCCTTTTTTTTTGGGATTTTTTTCCCGTTTTCTGGTGGAAGGAAGGTGCGAGGAAGGAAGGAAGGAAGGAAGGGAGGGAGGGAGGGAGGGAGGGAAGGGAAGGAAGGGACAGGAAGAAGGGACAGGAAGGAAAGCAAACGAAAGGAAAGGAAAGGAAAGGAAAGGAAAGGAAGAGATCCATTTGATCAAACCGTTGATACGATCTCAGTTTTTGGGGCTCAAAATTCAACCACAACCACAACCACAACAACAACAACAACAACCACAACAACCACAACAACAACAACAACCAACAACAACAACAACAACAACCAACAACAACAACAACCACCACCAACAACAACAACAACCACCAACAACAACAACAACAACCAACAACCAACAACCAACAACCAACAACCAACAACCAACAACAACCAACAACAACAACAACAACAACCACAACCACAACAACAACAACAACAACCACAACCACAACCACAACCACAACCACCAACCACAACAACAACCACAACCAACCAACACCAACCAACCAACCAACCAACCAACCAACCAAGCAACCAACCAACCAACCAAGCAACCAACCAACCAACCAACTAACTAACCAACCAACCAACCATCCATCCATCTATCCATCCATCCATCCATCCAACCACAACAACAACAACAACAACACCATGCAAATCAGAGAGCTTAGCTGCAAAACGCTGCAAATACCAATCAAAACCATCAAACTCCAAAAAACGGGAAAAAACATCTTAAAAAAAACGGGAAGAAAAAACAAAAAAAAATGCAGCCCTTTTAGATAACCATGGGATAACCCTGAAAAATCTCAAAAAATGGTCAAATGTGGGTTGGAAGGTCTTTGAAGGTCGGTTTCTGAAAAGCCAGCAGTTTTCATAGGTTGATCCATGCAGATCATAGGTCACTACGTGTACCCTCTGGTTATGTCAAAATAGCTTTGGAAAATGACCATAGAAATAGTTGATTTACCTATCAAAAATCGTGATTTTTTATGATTTCCTATAGTTAAACGTTAGTTTACCAGGCCGGGTAGTCAGAATCTTCATCCCCCACATCAGTCCTGATGGTCCTGATGGTCCTATCGGAATCCTATCGGCCCATCTGTCCGATCCCCATGAAAATGTTGCTACATACCCATATTACCCTCTGGTAAACGTTCACAAAAAGCTATTGAAGCCATGGCCCAGTCGAAATAGTGGATTTACCCATTAATCTCCATTAATAGCATATGGTGATTTTCCATAGTTAAACGTTAGTTTGCTGAAAATGGCCCAGTCGAAATAGTGAGTTTTCCCAGTAAAAGTGGTGATTTCCCATAGTTTTTTGTATGTTTACCAGGCCGGGTATTCTTGGTGAAAAGCCTTCAAGGTCAACCCCACTTCAACCAGGATCATCCCTGCAAGTTCACTAAGTTGGGAACTTCCATATCATCCCCAAATAGGCCAACAAAGTGACAAAGACCCTAAAATTGGTGAATAATCAGGAATTTTCCTGACATGTTCCATAAATTGGCCGTATCCCCCCACATTCCCCCCTTAATTTCTGGGCAAACTCATAGTGCCATCGCAACTTTTTTGCGCCTTGAAACCCAGATTGCGGGAATAGTCCAGGTATTGTTCGAAGGCCTTTGGATGACCTTCACACCTGTGGGCTGTTGAGCTGATGAGAGGATCATCCCACGGATCATAACTGCGTAGTGGGGAAACAACCTAAATAAAATAGCACCCACTTACTGACGATATGGGGATATACTTTTTTTTTGTCATAAGCCGAATTACAGCCCCTCACAGACTAATCACAAGTACCTATACATAGTCAGTGATAACCCACGGAATAGGGGACGAATCCCATCACCAGGGCTTTTTTCAACCAAGGATTCGATGATCCGCCAAGTTGAGAGCTGTGTTTTTTTCGTTGGTTTCACTGAAACATGATGGGAAGAGAAACCCTGGGATTGTTCATAATTTACTGGTCAAAATATGTCAAAATTGCCTAATTTATTGGGCTTTCGGCCGTTTTTTCGACAAAACCCACGTCTCAAAATTGCAAAGTCAATTGAAGTGAATCATTCTAGGCCGGAATGCTAAATTGTAGAATGATTGAAACCAACAAGCGATATGTGTGTCAAAGTACCTTGGTAAATAATCCCTCACATCCCCCAACTATTGGGGATAACATCTCCAAAAAACACTTGAATCTGATGTCCAAATTGTACACTCAATCGAGGTAGCACAGATAACATCAGATAACACAGAATGATTTCTTGCATTTGCACAGTGAGATAGTGAGATTGTCTTAGGATTGGGCAGATGCTTCATTCAAGACATGGGCTCCAGTTTTGGCGGGCTAGACCGACCAAAAATGCTGAAAACCCAGCGGATTTCGGGGGACCCTATTTTTGGGCAAACCTGTCCGCAGAAGTGTATGATTAATTATATATATAATATATGTATAATATATATATTATATATAATATATATATATAATACATATATATATCTATATTATATTATATTATATATATAATATATTATATTATATATATAATATATTATATAATATATATATATATATTATGTAATGTGATATGAAACACATTCTTGCGCCGTATTCTGCTACTTCTGCATCCCTAACACTTTCCCAGTTTTCAACAGCAGTACACACAAAAACACATAAAGCACTGCTCTTGTACTTGTACTTTGAGGAAAACCAGCTGATTGAGATCGTCTTCCCGGCTTTTAACATGTGTGATACGCCATAAGTTCGATGATTTCCCAGCTATTAGCCATCAACATCTATCAACTAGATTATGTCCCGTCTTGTTTGAGGTGGCTTCCATTTGTTTGTTGCATCCTTACTAATTGTGGTTGACAAGCTCCCCATGTTGTGCTGGTAAATGCATCCATGAATGAATCTCATCACATCTCTATCCATGTTCTGCACCTATGTGGGTTTGCTGATGTTCTCTTTTTCTTACAGGAGAATTACCCCAGGTACAAGGAAATCAAATTGGCAAGTTACCAAGTTACCCGCTATCGAAAATGGCCATGTACTTCAATAAACGGTGAATTTAGCTATGTCAAACAAGCAGTGGTAGTACCATGTGGGGCCCCCAAACGTTATGTTTGTTGGTTTATAACCCCATCGAACTATGGTTATAACTACCATAAACTCCAGTTATCGTAGTGATATATTTGCACCAACTTAGCTATCAAATGGGGGGGCCCACATTGTACCCATAATGGGTTGGAGCAACGGTATACCCAACTGGGCCCACTGGGCCGCCCAGGCAGGTCTGACAACTTTGTTGTCTCCTAACAGGTAGAAGTGGCATAAAATCCACAAAAGTGTGGTAAACCACAAGAGTTTTATAGAGGATTTACCTCTAGAAAAAAATGGATTATGTATGAAATGTATCATTCATGATTCTTGGGATGTTTCATGACTATTTATTGAGATATAAAATGATACAAACTTATAAACGATCCCCGTTTATGTTGTGGTCTAAATTGGGTCTTTTTGATAAAAAAAAAAACTCGTTCTGAATGGGATGATATTTACCCTCTGGTAAATAAACAGTTTGACCCTGGCAGATTTGTTGGGGTTGGAAGACTAGTTTGTTTCCATTAAACATTGGTCATTAAATGTCCCCATTTTTCACATCACCCAACCATGAATGGTATATGGTCAATGCCATGGCTACTATTTCAGGTGATTTTCCCAATCTTCCCAAAATGGGACATTTACTAACCCCCAGTCATGGTTGGCATGCTATTCCCATGACGGATCCGGCTGGTGCTGGTGGTGCTAACATTGGTTGGGGTTTTTGTTGATGGGATCCATGTTACCACCATATATAGCAGCACCATTAGGATCCGTCATGGGATTATGATTATCTTATATATCATTAATATCATTTAAACGTACTGAGAGTTGTGTTAAACAATTTATACTATATGATTTGTTATGGCGTTATGATAAGGTTGATGCAAATAAACCATGTTACGAGTATCATCATTTACCATCGGATTGTTACCCTCTGGTAAACTAACATAACTATGGAAAATCACCATCTTTAATGGGAAAACTCAATATAAATGGCAATTTTCAATAGCTATGTTAAATTGCCAGAGGGTATATGGGAGGTCCATCTATTAATCAACCGACCAGTGGGAAAAAGGACGTCCATGATGTTCAAACTCTAGAAATGGTTGTCATTAAAATATGAAACTCCTCGATTTTATGTTCAATATTATTGTTTAATTATGTGTCATAAAGATAAATCTCAAATAGAGGAGTTTCAATGAGTATTCCTGTTGATTCTAAGAAACAATAGCAACATGTGTCTTTGGTGCTCATGCTTGTTGACAATCTGCGAAGGGCACTATAAACTTGCATTCACTTGGCTGCTAAGTTGTGAGACATGTCCGGAAACCAATTTTGACACAAATGAAGAACCCCAAAACGACTCTCGTCACGAAACCGCTGGAAAATGTGTGTTTTCCCAAGCTAAATTAAAGGGCTTAAAAAAGGATTGGTCACAGAAAATAAAATCACTACAACCAACCACACTTGGGGCTAACCCCACAACAAGTGCTGAGATAACCTAGTTCAATACATGTATCTAAACCAACGAAAACGGATGTGATTTTCCGCAAAAATCAAATTGTTGGGTCTGAAAATAGGCTACCCATGGCTACCCCCATGGTTTCCCCATGAATGGTTTATCATTGTTTTCCACCATTAAAATTGTCAAATTTGGGGGATCCGACATTTTGGGACAAACCCATGAGTCAACGCCGTGCTACCTGGATTGCTGCAATTTCATTCAATTTTGGGGAGTAAAAGCCATGTATATTGTATTATATTGTTGGTTTTCATCTAGCAGAATCTAGCTCATCTTATATATGTTGTATATGTTATATATGTTATCTTAGTCATAAACTATATAACATATATAACATGAGCCAACAGTGCCAACAATATCAGTTATATATATATCCCATTTGGGAGTATGAAGCATCCAAAATCACTTTTGGAGACAGTGCCAAGTTAGTTGTTTTCCCCATTTCAGTTGGCTCCACCCAGAGGCCAAGGTGACGCCTTCTTTTCCTTGATCTTTTGGTACTTTTCCTGCGGAATGGGACAATAAGTGGTGTTCTACCCGTCATGATGTCATGGTTTTCATGGCATTTCACTAACAGAAAATGGTGTAGTATTATAGGGATAGAATGGGAACATACTGGAATATGAAAATATGAATGGGATATAACTATGAGAATAGATAGAATAGTCCCCTGGCCGTAGACGAAATCGCGACAGGTTGATGCACAGTTCAATTCGTTAAGTGTTGGGTTGATTAGGAAGCTATAACGAAGCAGTTCGGATTGGTGGGATATAATGAGATTTAATAGGAATACTGTAGTGGGATTATTCTGGATTATTTTCATGGGGGGTACATCTCCAACAACGAACTGGCACCTATATGGAGGATATAACGAACTCACCTCACGTACTTATCTTGATAACTATTACTAATGGTTACTGGGATGTTGGATTATGAACATATTATGGATTATTAATGCTGGTTGGTGGTTTCTACCATCTTGAAAAATATGAAAGTCAGTTGGGATATGATTATTCCCAATATAAGTAATGAAAAATAAAACATGTTCCAAACCACCAACCAGATCAATATTATGGATTATCAATGGGTTATTTTCATGGCATGATATCTCCAGTTACTGGGTTTATAACCCAACAAACATCACGTTTTTGTTTTTACCTCACCTCACCACGGATCTGCAGGACCAAAACATCCCAGATTTCTCGCCAAACCAACAGTCGAGTAGTTTGGATGCAAGAAATCACCCATGGGTTTTGGAAGTGGAGAACATACCTTACTGGTGCTAAACGTAGGAATGGATGGGTTGCTGGGGGTTGCTGGGATGATTATTGGTAGTTATTGTGGATCATTCCCGAAAATTCCCTGCTAAGCACCAGTAAGATACAAATGGGGCTTTCCTGAAATAGGGCTACCTATGGAAAATCCAACATATGAACGTCCGTTCTAGTATTGAAACCTCTATACCCCATTTTTTTGGACACCTCCAGGTAAATAGAACCAACTTGCTATACAAATCATAATCAGCTACAAATAAGTGGCTGAAACCGGGCAATCCCTGGTTGTGAATCACTGACAATGCCCTGGCCTCCCTTGGAAAGATGATTCAAAGTAGCTCAGATCTCGGATCTTTGGAGTTAAAGCCCTTTACCAGTTTTAGATGGGTTTTAATATGCTTATCATTCCATAGATGGGCTTCTTTCATTGACTTATAGCACTTATAACACTTATAACTGGTATTTTCGGCCATACCTGTACTACGCATGAGCAATTTCATGGGCCCATTTGCATCCAACAGAAATGCCACAATGCCGCATGGCCAGCTGCCAGCTACACGAGGTCAAGGTCACCGGATTACAGTGGCTCCAGTGGTCACCAAAAAAAATGGACAACTGGACAACCTATAAACATCTATAAACTATAAATCATCATGTAGAATTCTATAACATATTCTATAAATCTATAAACTATAGATGAATTGTTACTCATAACAACAATCCTATGAACTATAGTTACTCATGAAGATTGTTATAATCTTCCACCGGATTGGAAGGCCCCCAAGCCGCACCAAGCCGGCCTTTTTGGTCCGTGCATCTAAGCCGGACCAAGGTAGGGCTGATCTTAAGAAGTACATGAGCATATGCCCAATGGCCTACGACATGGAGAAGCGTCCACCATGGGATCCTTGGGATCCTTGGGATCCCTGGGATGTGATGTGTCAAAATCCATGGCTTTTTTTGGGAGGGAAATTCACATCAATTCTGGGTGGTAAATAGGCTTCATCTCCAAACAATATGATGCAATAGGTTTTGATCCATCAACATTTCCTGTTCAAGTATGGATGATGAAGAATTCATAGCAGTTTACGTGGGTCTGCCAAAATGGGGTGTGTACTAAACACTCCAAATAAACTGCTTAGGCATCATTGTATATCATATTCCCCATGAACAATTTACATAGGCTTACATAGGGGTATCCACCATTTCAGTCACACCTATTTCATAATGTTGGTTATATATATACATACATATATCCCATGAAGTACCCCATTCGCAGTCATAGTATATACCTGCTAATTCATAGCACTTAGTAAATAGCTTATAACCCGGGGTGTAAATGGACTGCTTGCCCCTACTTACCCTACTTTCACTTCGGGTTATGGCCACTACGTCGACGTTATAAGCCACATTTACTGAGGTGAACCATTGTCAATGGCCATGCAACAGGAACCAAAAAACTGGAGATGCCTACCAGGCCTTCAGGGAAGATCCCCAGTACAGTACCTCCATTTTGGGGTGCTGGAAATCCTACGGGTTTCCAGAGCATCATGTTTCTCCATCAAATATCAACGACGGGACTGATGGGGACGTGAGATGTGGGTAGTATACACTTACGGCCCTTAAGAGTTCATATTTCATCCCATAATTCCGGACCATTGCCCCGTCACAGCTTCGAACATCATGGGAAATCTGCTGCAAGGTGTTTCCAGGTGAAATTGGAGGTTTCCTGGTGGTGGTTGTCAGGCCAAAAAGGTCAAGGAATCCATGGGAAGAACGGCTAAGGGGTTCATCCCAGAATGGGAATCCTGTGGGCATATCATCCCTATCAAAGGTGGTATGACCATCCCCGTTTCTGGGAAAAAAAAACAATCCATGTTTTGACATATGAGGTATACGTACTGCAGAGGCGTTTCTGGCTTGCTAAGCTCCATATGGAGGTTTCCTAAAATAGGGTTACACCAAATCTTAAAACTTTTAAGAGGATTGCCCATCATAAACAATCCGTTCGGGGGTACCCCTATGACTTGGGAAAGCACCATATACCATTTTTTAAAAATTACGCTGAAAAAAACTTAGGAAAGACACCATATACCAATTCAAAAAACGTAAATATCACCGTCATGTTAAAAACTCGCACCGTATACCACTTAGGAAACTTTGGTACCCTCTGGTAAACGTTTACATCATAGCTATTGAACATGGCCCAGTCGAAATAGTGGATTTTACCATTTGGTTATTTAACAGTTCGCCATGGAAAATCCACCCATTTTTAAGTTCGGTAAACCATCTATTTCTATGGGCCATCTATACCATGGCTACGTTAAATAACCAGAGGGTAATAGTGATTGTATCCATTAATTAATATATCCCAATAAGGATTATATATCCCATGGGTTGGATTACAATACGACAATATGGGGATGGGTCAAAACCCTGTACCCCTTTTTTGTTCACATCAAAATAGCTGGGATTTATGGATGTGAATAACCCCCTAAAAATTGTATTTTCATAGGTATTGATCCATAGCCATATCTAATCCCCCAAGCAGTAATAATTTATAAGTTGGGATTGTATCCATATCATAAAAATACTGTTTATATGCCAATGATATCCCATTCTAATGATAATTACCATCGTTTTTTGTATGTTCACCATCGTTTTTGGGGATCTTTCCATCGTTTTTTGTATGTTCACCGTAGGCCGGGTATGGAAATGGTGAACTTCTCGGCCCGCGCCTCCAGGTCATCCCTCCTGCTTTGTTCAAAGCCTCGATGTGCGTTTAAGGACGCGTACCTGGCTGATGTTCGAAGGCACCCAGGGCTATTTTTGTTGAGTTTTTTTTCTGAAATAATTCAGAGAACCAAATCAGCAGGGCTTCCAGCGTAGCAGGGCTATGGGTGGTGAAACACACTTTTTCCACCCGAGCACTGATACAAAACAAGAAATAGCCGTTACGTGCGAAAGTACTTGTCCCGTGTTCATGGCAGATGCCCATTTATAATTAGAGCGGGAAAAACAAATCTTGCTTCCCTTAGGCTCACTTTTCTGCTTAGTTTCAACTTTTTTAGAATGTGTAGAATGAGAAGAGGCCTCGGACGGTGCAAGGCAAATGATGGTGGACACAACGTTTGGGGGGTCATTAGGCCATCGTCGTCCGCGGGCGTCTTCGAGTCGGCTATGAGCCAGCTAGTTTTTGGCATTGTTCCCGACAGAAGTGGACACAGAAGACAGCGCGGCAAGCTCAGCAGTATATAAATGTATATGTTCATTCATCATGTGGTTGTCCGTGTGTGAGACCCTGAAAAGGTTTTTAAGTTTTATCTTTCTAGGTGCTGGGAGACAGGCTTTATTTCTTGCCATCAGCATGTGACGATTTCTTCTTTTGAAAGATTCTTCTTCTCCCGGTGAAAGGATTCCTCCTTCCCGGCGCCGGGTTGGGAGGATTCTCTTTTTCCCGGCGCCGGGTCTCGCTCCCGGCGCCGGGTCTCCCTCCCGGCGCCGGCTCTCCTCCCGGCGCCGGCTGAAGCCTTCCTCCTTTCCCAGTGCGGGGTGGAAGCTTTCTTCTCTTGCTTGCAGAAAAACAAGCAACCGCGGCGACATACAGTATGTTTGTTGCTGAGCTCAGGGCGTCAAAGTCTTCATTCCCTTCTAACGGCGCCAGGGTGACGAGGAGAGCGCTTCGATTCAACAATGACACCCGGATACTCGAAATTCAAGGCGCAGATCAGCTTTAGCGTGGAGAGATGTATTTCGGCCATGAGATGGAGGATAATTAAGGAACAGCAACGCTGCTGACTGTTGCTAGCTTTCCGCTTCCGCGCCTACACACCCGCCTATAGGTTTCTACGGAGCCTCCTGCTATGCGTCGGCAGCAGACGGACGCCTACCCTGCCATTTTGAAAATGTATGTATGTATATCTGGTAAGAGGCATGTACGCTTTTAAATATTCCCTCACAGTCGCACCTGCACCAAGACGGGGATGAAATAAATTCCGGCCATTGCAGGCACCAGGCGCCAATTTTCAGTGCAAATTTTCATTTTTGAAAACGTACGAAATCACCTCGCACAGCCCCGATGGCTTGGCTCCACCCACTGCCCCGCTCAAAGGGCTAGCGGCGGCCTTCCTCCGAATGCCCCGTTCAAGCTCCTTACTCGTACAAGATTCAAATCTTCTTCCCAAAGCCCCGAACGAACCATTTCCACCCAAAGCCCCGATGAAACCATTCCACCCAAAGCCCCGATGAAAAATTACACGCAAAAACAGTGAAAAAAACAGCAAAAAAAAAAAGTGTTTTTCTCGTTTCTGGAAAGGGCCTAGGTGCTTGTCTCAGCTGAAGGACCCGCAGCAAGGACTTGCTTGAAAACCCCAAAAGATTGAATGGCGGCATGAAGCAATCTTGAATACTACTTCTACTACATCGGCACTAATGCAAGCCTAAAAGGCTTGAGGTCATGGTGTTTTCCTCATTCCATCCGGTTCTGCTTCTTGCATCAACGCGTCTGCCAGGCATATATGGAAGCAATGCAGAAACAGACTCTGGTCCCTGTTCTGTTGCCGTTTGAGACATGCAAAGTTCAAGGTCCATCGTAGCAATGCTCTTTTTCAACCAGCGTTGTGCAAAGCTTTGGCACCCAAGCCGCTGCTCCTGTTTGCTCTTTGCTGTAGCCTCTGCCTTTCTAGGGCTGGCCTGTTTTAATTTCCCGCTTAGCAGGCTTAGCAAATGAAAATGGAATTGGTAGTGTTCTGCAAGCCGTGCTTGAAACAGCTACAGGACTGAGCATGAGGGTTGAATGAGAGGGCATTGCTGCAGCTTGCTGCTCCCAGTGGCTCGGGCGTGCCTTGACGGCAAGCTTCCCCAAGTTGAGAGCTTTCCCCATGAAGGCAAGGATTCGAACGCCCGTGGTGAGTTGCCATCTTGACGAAGGCAACTGCCGCTAATGCTCTAGGTGTTGCCTGCGTTAGCCTTCTCCGCGGCGTGCCCAGCGCGGGGTCGACTGTGAAATATGGCAAAGGGCGTTTCGCATGCTACTGGCCTGGTTCTCGTCGCAGGAATTCAAGGCAACATTGCGAAAGAATCAGGTGGCCACTGAGATCAGGTTGTACATACGGCTTCATACATGTTGATTTTCACAGGTACATGCTGTTGAAGTAGCCCCCCAAGGACAAGAAGTGCCCAAGCGAAGGCTAAGGATTTGCTAGTGCTCAATTGCATGGGTCTGTCCTGTATTGGCCATTGCTTGTCATAAAACAAACTTAATTACATTGCAATAGCAGAGGTTGTGGTTGAACCAAACTACATGGGGTCTTGAAATGTGTTCCGGTAGAAGATTCAGTGAACGTTTGCAATGCTATTTAATCAGAAATATCTGTTCAATGTAGCTAGGTGGGAAACCCCCCCAAGCCCCGCTCCACCCAGTGCCCTGCAAATTCTTTCCTCCAAATAATAGAAACTATAGTAGAAAAAACTAGTAACATGATATACGAGAATTAGTAATATTGTTGTACTACAATATCATTAAATTATATACTAATTAAAACTCATTAATAATCAGTAATATCAATATATAATATGATATTAATGATATTAGATGATATCAGTATAATTAGAAATATTATATACTTAGACTATTAAACTGTTTCAAATAATATTGACAATGACAACAGAGGCAACATTGGTTTCTTTTGCCGACGTGAAGTCTATGGTTTATGATGGAGATGTCCACAATGAGATAAGTTTGATAAACCAGCTTAGCTATTTGGGGGGCACCACTTTGTATATGGGGAACAAGTTTTTTGGGGGAATGATAATTGAATGATATGGAAACATTTGTGATTTTTTATTTTTGCTTACAATTCTACTGAAATCATTCCACCATCTTTACCTATGCTGTCCCTCGCATGACGACGGACCGTCTCCGTCTTCCCCGTCTTTCACGAAACTTTCGGACGAACTGCCCGCGCCTCGCTGTGCCAGTCAAACTCAACTTTTGAGAGCTCTGCACATGGCGCTTGTCCCAATACCTGTGCCAGCGGGATGATCGTGATGATCCTGCGACTGGGATGATGGTCGAAGATTTTTTCGGAAAAACCGAAGAAAAAACACATGATTTGTTCAACAGCTGGGATCTTCATCATCACTTGCTATTCATTTCAGGAATTTCACGCAGAATTTAAGAGTCTTCCAATCATTTGGATCGAACTAGAAACGAGCGCGCGGTCAAAAAATCACAAGCTTCGGTACCCCATATTATCCCATGGTTTTGCGACAACCCCCATGGTGGCGTCAAAAATATGGAATCGTTTGAACCGCCTGGAAACCTCCACTCCAGATGGCATCTTTTTGAGGACTCCAGGGACTCCGGGGACTCATGCCACGTGCCTCTTGCTAAGTCCAAAGTCGATGATGTACAAATGGTGCCTCGGCGAATGGTGGATTTTCCCGCCACCGTTTTTTCGGACAGTTTTTTGTTGACCAAAATCAATGAGTAATTTGCCTGAGGGAAGCATAATAAATCCAATATAAATCACAACCAGTAGATTCCCCTTAAATGCTAGATGAACTAATGGCAGAAGAAAATCATCAGACAGAGCGAGGATGGATCTTGGCGGCATAGGTGAACATGGTCTTTGGAGCTGCCAGAAAAGTCGTGGTCTAAAAATTATCTAACTGACCATTAACCATTCCAGCCTTGACACCCGAGATCAAATTTGATCAAATCTCCAATTTCAAAATATACGAAATTGAGATCAAACATTTCATAAATTTGGTGACACCCAATTTCATTAAAATATACGAAGCATCACCATTCTATGGCTGTATGGTTCCCTTTATGACGGGGATGTTCGAATTTGTTTTTCATCCCAAAGCATCCCACATGGAGATGAAAACGGATGAGTCAGCTCCGAGTCACTCCATTTACCCTCTGGTAGACGTTCACATAGCTATCGAAAATGGCCCAGTCGAAATAGTTGATTTACCCGAATTTACCCATAAAAAGTTGCATGGTGATTTTCCATAGCTGTTTCTATGTTTACCAGAGGGTAAACCTCCATTTTCCTATGGTTTTCCTAGGGTTTTCCTATGGTTATACCACTAACCTGGGTGACGATTGCGAATTGATGATGTTCATGTGAGCACCATTAAAACCCCACATGGAGATGGGAAACCCCCGAACTAAATGGAGGTTTTAATGGGTAAATCATCTACAAATGGTGGATTTTCTTAGATGATTTACCCATTAAAACCTCCAGATACAGACTCGGAAAAAAAAAAACCCAACGATATAGATGATTTACCCATTAAAATCATCCCTGTTATAGCTTTTCCCTAGATGGTAAATCTCTAGTCTTGAGATCATCTTCGGTCCGCAACGATACAGACTTAGGATGCAGAAAAAAAATCACCCAAGGCGGTGCCTAGAGATATCTACCATGGATCCAACAGTTAACCTACTAATTTCATCTAATGTCAACAAACTTGGCCAACCAAATCCCATTAAATCCCATTAAAATCAGGGTTTTTAGCTGCTAACATTCACATGAAATCTATGAAATCCTATGAAAAATCGCCTGATCATTTATACCGAACTCAGCCATTCCCAAGGGCAACCACCAACCGTCCGTGCCGCAAGCGTCTCGCTGCCGCTGCCGGCGAGGCTCTGCTTGGGGCCAACGCCCCACATGAAGTTCTCGGGCTTGATATCCTGAAATTCGTAGAAACCCTTACGTACACTGTATACTCTATTCAGGCCCCAAACGACCGCAAAGTTTTTCCGCACACGCACGGGCAACAGTTGGGTATTCATGGGGAATGTAACGAACAAGTATTCACAGGTCTGGGTAAATTATAATGATTCACGAACCTGAATAGTTGGGCCATGAATAGTTGGGCCATTTGGGGATGATTCCCCTCATAAACTATGATTCCAGTGAGGGAGAACAGTGAGGTCGTTATAATTTACCCAGGTACACTATATACTCTATTATCAAGATTACCCTCCAGTAAACTAACATAGACCCTGCCAGATAGGGGTTGGAAGAGTAGTTTCCATTATAAATTTGTGATTTTCAGGGTCTATGTTAATTTACTAGAGGGTATGGATATGTATGTATATATATATATATATTTTATCAACAGGTATAACATGATAACAATGTTGTTGAAATGATAATGGTCATAATGGTCTGTATATACATGTAATCTATATCATTCTATATCACTATATAATAATGATATTAGCAAGATTACATGACCATCATTTTCAACAGCAACATTAAACATCGTTAAGCTAGGTTTCCTTTAGGATTTGATTCAATCATGTGGGTAAAACAATGTCATAAACCACCCATTTGGAAATGGTTTCTACACCCTTTTTATGGTGAATTGGGAGATTGTTACATATATACATATATATATAATATATATGTGTGTGTGTGTTCTATAAGCTCTATATATATGTATATATATATGTGTATATGCATTATAAATGTATAAAAATATAAACAAATATGACTAGAGACAAAAACTATCCATCCAGCTGGTTGACTCCGTATGACCCTTCAGCAAACCTTGGGATTTCATCAACGAAGCTGGTTGGTGGTTGAGCCCTACCCCTCTGAAAAATGTGAATTCGTCAGTTGGGATTATTCTTCCCAATATATGGAAAAGTAATCCAAATGTTCCAAACCACCAACCAGCAAAGTAAGGGCTGGCGAATGATGTTGACCAAGACTACCATCCACTCCCGTGCTGAATCATTCTAATATTATGGCCCATTTCGGTGGTGTCATCAACAGAAGTGATTTTTTTGCGAGAAAACGCAAAAAAGTTGGTGCAACCACGAGGTTGGGAAACTCTATCCGTGGCTCCAACTGGCTACCCCATGTTGTTTTGGGAATATGGATCCAAGCATAGCTCAGCTCAGCGTCCCCCTCCATTCACCACTAGCTCTTGGATGTTCTGCTATGTCATCAATACTCATGGTCTATTCGGCAAATGTTCCCAAATGTGAATGGGACAAACTTCAGCAAATATAACTAAATTACATATATATAATTATATAATTAATTACAATTATTATTATATGTATATAATCTGTATATAGATTATATAGTGTAGAGTATATAAAGGGGACATTGGGATACGCAAGAACATCCCATGATATCCCTCTTTTTTTTTGCGTTTTCTTCCCCATCGCCTCATCCCAACCACCAAAAAAACCGAAGCCCAGTGACTCGATGGACCACACCTGCGCAGCGGTGAAGGTGAACTAAGCTTCTAACGTGAACTCATGTGGGTAAAACGATGTATCCCAGAAATCACCATTTGTTATAGGTTTATGCTATTAATTGCTATTATGATTATCTTACATATCTTATAAACGTACTGAGAGTTGTGTTATACCATTTATAATATGTACCTTGTTAAATGGCTTTATGATAAGATTGATACAAATAAACCATTCCTGGTTGGTGGTATACCTACCCATCTGAAAAATATGAGTTCGTCAGTTGGGATCATGAAATGCCCAATATATGGCAAAATGAAACATGTTCCAAACAACCAACCAGATTCCCAGTCATGGGTGGTTTATGACATGGAATTACCCACATTGTGAAGAATCAAATCCTAGAGGAAACCTATCTTAATGCTGCTTAATGATTTAATGTTGCTGTTGATAATGCTGATAATATATGATAATTATCATCTCTTGGATTTGCTTAAGGGCCCCGGAAAAAACAAAAAAAACTTTTCTGGTGGAGTTCTCGTTGGGAAAAATACACCCAAAGTACCTAAAGTACCTAGCACAAACCAGTTTTAATTTATGCATATTAATGTGGGTCACGTTCTGGTAATCACAGGGCGGCAAGAGCATTCAGAAGGACGGTTCGTGATCTTTCAGTACTGGACAAAAGACCTGCAGTCCTGGAGGTCTTGAAATTTGACTTGGAGCCGTCCTCAAGATTGGTTTCGAATCATACTGCCAGAGTTTTTGAGCTATAATTTTTGTCATAGAACCACTTAAACTATCTTTTTGAGGCTGCTTGAGCCCAAATTTCTTGGATCTCCATATTTTCAGTGGCTGGGATTCCTGGGATCCCCAAGATTTGTCAAATTCACTACTAACGAGCCACAAAAACGTGAGGATCTAACAGGGGATCACCGAAAAGCTGGAAAAGGACAAGTTGATATCACGTCTTTTAATGTCGATATCCACAGTGACATCAATTCCTTTCCTCTACCTGTCCGTTACTGTCAACCAAGCGCTTTCGAAGCTACCATTTTGGCCAAACTCTATGAGCAAGAAGGATGGTGGAAACTAGCCGCAACTAGCCTCTTCAAACAAAGATATCCGGTGATCTTTTCCTACAAATCTGGGTTTTCCCTATGTTGGTTTACTCTAAGCTGTCTGTTTTTGATCGTTTTTGGGGCTTCTTGAATCGGTGTCCCGGCATCGATTTATGAACAAAGATCCACCTCGCGAATGCAAGTACTCGATCCGCATCAAGATCTGGCGAAGCGGGGAAACCATCAAGAGATCTTTGGATATTCAAGGGGGAATCAAAATATGATCACCTACAGTCTACAGTTATATCATCCCAAAATGTTTTATAAGTGGGTTATCATGATCATAATATGTTATAACCCAATTTAACAAGTATAGGATGAGATACCAAAAATACCAGTTATGTATATATATATATATATATTGCATTTTGATGGTCGTAAATGGGTTATCATTCCATAATTTCGGTGACTTACTGACTTATGCCTGCTAAAGGGCCATATATAACTGTAGGTGATATTTTGGAATTTAAACACATTATTTGGGAGAGATATTTGGGGCATGTATAGTAATTAGGGGCATTCTAGAATGGGAGGGTTGAATGTAAAAAGTCCAAGGCTGGCTGTGTACTTTGCTCATTGTCCTATGTATCTCACCATAAAGTATACATGAGCAACAATTGCCTAAAAATACTGGGATACGGGCTACAAAAGGGACCTTTGCTGTGTACCCCTATATGTAGCCCTCAACACAACAAGATTCTCAGAGTTTGGGATCCCAGTTTAAGCACGTTTAGCTGACAGCTTGCTGACAGCCTGCTGATAGCTTGCTGACAGCTTGGCTGGGAAAAACAGTTGCGCCACAAATTGAGTTGTTTCGAGCATTGAATTGCCATAGCCATAGCCATGGAATATGTCAGAGCACCTGAAATTAACCAATCTTGGGGTGGTCTCCTATATTTATAAACCGTCGTTTCGGGTGAGGTGGGCATTTAAGGTCTCTATCATCTGCCCATCAATAGTCGCCATTGAAAGTGTCATTTGTTTGCTGGTAAAAGATCTAAAATCATATCGATTTACAAATACATCGCATTTGTTGCTTATGCAATTATCATCAACATATCATCAACTATCCCATGGTTCCAGTCACCACCAACCAGCAATAATAATCAATCCCCAAAATCACCAAAAATGGTAGGTTTATGGCATGGGGTTTTCCCACATTCATCGGTTCCTGGTCCCAGATCAACCACGCCACCGCCGCTACGCCGCGCCTGTTGAGCCACGAGACATGCGGTTTTTGGTTTGAACCGACCACCGCACCTGGCAGGGGACAACAACCAGCAAGAACTGGGGATACAGCAACTGATACATCTGAAAAAAAAGGATGATATAATTAGAAATATATAATTAGTATAGTCAGGGTATAGTTATATGATTAGATGCAATCAGCCAAAAACCCTCAGCTTTTAGGGGTTGATACGATGTTCTAGCCAAAAAGAACCAGGAAGAATTCCCTCAAGGTATACAACTTAGTACACCTTGATGCACACTTCAAACCACCCATATCACCATGACTTCAGACTTGGGGCCCCGGACATCTGAACGTGGTCTTCTAGGCTTTTGCCCAGAAACTCCATGGCTAAGCAATTGAAATTGCCCTGCCGTGTCGCTGCGATTTGGTTGGCTTGAAATTGGGATTTTGATAATTTATACTGCGTGTAATCGTAAGAAACTGAGCACATTTATTTTCTTCAAATGCTACTAATGCGGGTAAAACAATAATAAATCCATCCCTCAAACCGCAATAGGTGGTCTAAACCTTTCCCAAACGGGTGGTTTATGACATTGTTTTACCCACATTACAATACTAGTGTAATACAACTCAATAGACAGGCATGATTTGGGCTTCACATCATGCGCCTCTTGCCCGAAGTGGAAGAACTTGGCCTCACCAACAAGCGACCGCTTCACACCGACCGCGCCGTTGGACCCGTTGGACCGCGTTGCTGGTGGTGTTATTGTCCAACCATCCCCAAATTGACATGATGACCTTGCCAAATGATACTACAGTAGTAATTACTCATGGCCACCGAAGGTCCCCCAACGTTGCAGTCAGGTGTCATTCCCGCATGGAACTACGTCCCCCAACTGCCAGGAAAAGTCACCCCAACTTCTTCGCCCATTGTAAACGCAGCACGAAAATGAAAAAGTACAAAAAAACTATCATCCCAAATGTGCAAAACACAATCAGAACGCAAGTCACCCCAATGGTCTTAAACTATGGAAAATTATCAAAAAACGATATATTTTAATAGCCAAACACCATGTGAACGCATGATTCATGTATGTTTGGGTAGGATATCTTTTTTGTTACAAAACGCATCCAATTCGAATGTTAAAAGTGTAACAAGTACATCTAAGAAATGTCATCTTTTGGATCAAAACACAATGTGAACGAATGATTCATGTATGTTTTGGTATGTTTTGGTAACAAATCTATGGAGTTCTGAGCGAGGCCAAAAACGAGGCCAAAACGAGGCCAAAACGAGGCCAAAACGAGGCCAGAAAATAGCTTTGGAACCCCCTCAGCTTTAGCAGCAGTACCACCAGCCCGGCAGCAAGTCTCTATAGCAGGAGTCTAGAAGCAGTCTGGCAGCAGCTCAGCACCGCAGCCATTTAGCATCAGCCCGACAACAGCCTAGCTGCAGGCCAGCATCTACTGTAATTAGATGAATCGATGCAACTACTCTAGAAAGGCACCACCCCCGGCAGGGCGACATGTAAACACGTGACTGGATTTGCTTGAAGGTCACATGAATGAGCCAGGCATGACAAAAAAACAAGTTCACCAGTGTAAACACAAGCTAAATGAAGCAAAATTTACTTCTAAAGCATCGTTTTCTATCTTACGCAACTGATCCACAGCAAGTAAACGCATGTTGGGGCGACTTTCCCGGGAAGTCCCCCCCAACTAAACGCAAGATTTTGGATCCGGCGGGGTGAGTTCACTATAGGTGAGTACATACCCTCTGGTTAACGTTTACATAACTATGGAAAGATCCACCATTTTTAATGGGAATATTCGGAATATCAACTATAAATGGGCATTCTCAATAGCTATGTTAAATTACCAGAGGGTACCTGCAAAAAGTTGTTATTTTCAGGGTCTATGTTAGTTAGGGGGATGATAAGATCTTTCGGACCAGGGATGGGAATTGTCAAAAGCTAAACTTGACCAAACACGAAGATGCCCAGTCGCCGTCATCATTTTCATCATGTTCCATCGTTTTCTATCATGTTCCATCGTTTTCTATCATGTTCCAACACCTTCCGTCATGTTTCATTGTTTTCAATCAATATCAATTTTTATTTCAAGTTATTCATCATCATCATCATCAGCATCATCATCATCATCATCATCATCATCATCATCCATCATCATCAATCATCATGAATCATCGTCCATCATCATCAATCATCAATCATCAATCACAACCAATCAATCAATCAATCAATCAATCAAGTCAATCAATCAATCAATCAATCAAGTCAATGAATCAATCAATCAAACAACCAATCAACCAACCAAAATCAATCAAGTCAAGTCAAGTCAAGTCAAGTCAAGTCAAGTCAAGTCAAGTCAATCAATCAATCTCCTCTGTAATCCCCCTGCAGGTTGGTTTTTAGAAATATCACGGTTTTTTTTTTTTGTGTTGTCATCCTCTTCTACACCACCCATCCGAACATCCCAGTATGACGTATTGTCTCTGTGTTTTCGCCGGCTGCATTTTTTTTGCCGGCTGCATATTAAGACAAAATCTGCTTGGTGGTTCCTGAAAAATATGAGGTCGTCAGTTGGGATTATTCTTCCCAATAGATGGAAAAATAAAATTCATGTTTCAAACCACCAACCAGAAATAAGTTGAGCATCCGCTGTCTCCTTTTTGGGTTGGCTCATCGTGTTGCACCGGATTTGGGGCTCTGTTGGTTTAAACCGAACGGCTTTCTGTTTGATGGAGGAGATATCGAACGAATTGGATGGGGTAAGAAACCCAGATACAAAAAATCACTGGGAGACCCCTTGGGACCTGGGACCATCCCCTTGTCAATCTTGGTCGCCATCGTTTTCGAACATGTCTTTTCTACAGTAAACATGTTCAAAACAACTGCAAAAATGTGCATGGTCAATGCACATTTACAGTTTTTTTTCAGATGTATACTTTAGATGTCTGATAGTATCTGATAGTAACATCACCATGGTTTTGATCTGTTTTGACCACGTTAAAGCACCATTTTGCCTCGAGAAATCTGTCGGCATCCAAGGGGCATAACCCTGCAATTCTGCAGGCCCTCGGAGCAAATTCAACATCTCAGCCTCACAAAAAAGCGGGGTGCAGATTCGTGTCAAAATATTGGGGATAAATATCTATATCTATATACAGATGTATATATATATATATATGCGTATACACATATAATATATATATATATGTATATATATATATACAATATATATATATACATATAATTACTTGAGGGATTATGGATTTAGTCAACTATGTTCAATCGTTGTATTTTTGTTAGTTTAAGGCTTTTATTTGTTTGTGGTACGCCATTGAAACTGAGCAAAAATGGCGACTTTGCTGAGGTGGCTCAGCCAGATGTCATGTGTAGTGCACAACTCACTGGCCATCTCAGGAACCGATAAACTTTGGAGGTACCTACCATACATAAGGCCTATATAAGGCCTTAGTTTCAGGGAATATCCCTACAAAATATGGCCAAAAATATGGTACTAACGTACCTCCATTTTAGGATCCTGAAATTCCCATTGAACAACTTGAACATGTAACGGGATGTAGGTATCATCATTAGATAATATGAAAAAAGTCTGCTATATATCTGGTATTTCCATCAAACATCATCCAATGAAAATGATCTGGAAATACTAGTGCATGGATATTAGTCCAAATGCACCTAAATTAAGCTGCAAACATCAGTTATTCTATAGTGAGTCTCATTAACGTTCATCTAAATTAATTCGAACTAAACACCCAAATCCAGAATTCATGTCATTGGATAATTGAATAAACAAAGAAGCAATTATGATTTGTAACTGTGGATAATTCATTGGATAATATAATTAAATTCTTCAATTCTCAATTCCCCCCCAAAAAATAATTGGATATTCTCGTGTTTTTCTGTTCAATTTCTCTGACCAGATAATGATAGCACTGGTGTAGCCGCTTAGCCTCAGGCCACCTCATCCCGAATCTTGCAAGGTGCCTTGAAACCTTGTCGCAAAGTTCGTAATATAATAGTGATTGTATCCATTAATATGTATACCCTGTGGTAAACTAACATAACTATGGAAAATCACCATGCTATTAATGAGAAAACTCACTATTTCTATGGCCATTTTAAATAGCTATTTTGACATAACCAGAGGGTATATATATATATATATCCCAATAAGGATTATATATCCCATGGGTTGGATTACAATATGACAATATATCATCCCCCAACCAGTAAACATTTATAAGTTGGGATTGTATCCATATCATAAAAATACTGTTTATATGCCAATGATATCCCATTCTAATGATAATTTAGTGTAGTTCAATGATAGTTTCTGATAATGATTAATAATTAATAGGGATTAATCCCATCTCCCGTTCATATTAAACACCCCCACTGTTTTTTGTCTGTTGATTATATGGAATTTCCTGCATCCACCATGGTTTCGTTTGGGGGTGTGAAAGAAATTGGCGGAATGGGATTATCTATAATATAGTTTGTGGATGCAGGAAACTCCATAAAAGTAGGGTCACCACTTAATTCGTTAACTATCTATAATTATCTATAACTCTATAACTACTTAATTAGTTACTATATTTTTGGTAACTAGGGATTGTCTATAGTTGGAAACTCTCGGTGGCTCCTGGGCTGCCCATTTCAAGGAATATGGATACCAGATTTTTATTAACTCCATGTGTTTATGAAACTTATCAGATGGTTTCCATATACACCCATTTACACATTTATATGTGTTTATATCCAAAGAAACCTAGTTAACCAAATTATAAGTCAACTTAGCTATCGAATGGGGGCCTCACCTTGTAACTCCAATGTGTTTTTCTAAAAGAACTTCTTCCTTGGGAGACACCATCACTGCCGAGCACCTCGTGTCGAAGCTGCGGCGACGCATTGTGTGTTACCTGAAAGTTTGACCATCAGAAGTGGGAGTGTAAAAACATGATAGAAATATGAGTTGCAAATTATGGTTGCATGTATGCATGATATGTGATGGAAATGGATTACATAGCCAACAATGTCACGTTCTCTAGGGACATTTTCCATTTGCCAGTGGATTTAGGGGTACTGGGTACCATCGGGTACCCTTACTTGTAGACAAGCCCATTTCAATCGTTTGGGGAGCAGGGAAAGTATTCGCCAAACTGCAAATATATAAATATAAATATATATATATCAATAAATATGCTGGTTGGTGGTATACCTAGCCGTCTGAAAAATATGAGTTCGTCGGTTGGGATGATGACATTCCCAACTGAATGGAAAAATAAAAAATGTTCCAAACTACCAGTAGTTTTTTCATGTATGATGAATTATACTGAACAAAAAGACGTCACCGAAACAGTAAATGTTGGAATGAAACAGGAAACAAACATTTGAGTAGGCTCATTGACTCGAGTTCCATGACCGTTGCCTGTTGATTCTCAGTTGAAAATGGAGAATGGCCGGCTTGAATGGTTGATTTGAGTTCAAATGATTGGTACAAAGTTGGGAAATTAGGACATACAGTCGAAGAAATCCTGCACCAGTTGCTAGATGGTTTCTCCCGTTTTAATCATGGCCAATCTTAGATACCCTTCAAAAAAATACATTCTTAGCTGGTGAACGTAGATAATCCCATTGATACCAAAAGACTAAAGGATTCAAGTACCCATCCAAGATTGACCTAGAGTGTATGCTATATTGGTACATGCTTAGAAGTAAATGTTGGCATTTTTTAAAAAAAATGTAAATATACCATACAAAGGAAGGTGCGTCACAAAGAGAAACACTAGACCGGCTCTCAGTACAAGAACAACACCTCCACGAAGTGATTATTGACCAGGGCTCCCCAGTCTCGAGCAACGACGGACAAAACTGCACCATGCCAGATTCAAGAAGCCAAAAGCAGATCACAACGCGACATAGAACCAACTCAAGGGTCCAAGCAGTCCGAAGCTCTGACACCTCTCCAGGAGACAAAGTCCAAAGAATGCTTGGAATGCCAAGAACTTGGATCACCGGAATCTGATAGTAGTAGGCCGCAATCTGGAAGGTCCGCCTCAAGCAACTCGATGTACAGTCTGTGATGACTGTCGGAAAGCCTGGGACAGTGTGCTGCATCTTCCTGCTGACCTGCTGGAACAAAGCTGTCAACCTCAAGGCCATGATGTAGAAGATCCCAACCAAATTGTTGGATAGCCAGCGAATGATGTCGTAACTGATCAAAGGACCAGTTAACGCAACCAGCTCAGATCCTCCTTCGAGATTTCCACTGGGCGCCTTTTCTTCTTGGCTGTCCCGGATGTATTGCTCGTTTTGGCCTTCAATGTCGGTGACATTTCTAGCACGGGGTCCTCTGTTGCGGGGGCCTCTTCTTCCCCGTTTTATCCCCGTTTTATACCATACATGGAGCAAAACTTGAAATTCTCAAAATGTCTGAAGCCCCACTTGTGCCTTTGTCAAGCAGTATCGGCTATGTTGACCAAATGCATGACGATGAAAAAGCATTTTGAAACAAAAAAACTGTATGGCGGGACTTATAGTAATCCCCCAAACAGATATAAAAGTAGTTCACCACTATTTTATAGTTCAGTAGCATTCTGCTTTTCTGTCTTTTTTGGAGGTTACAAAAAATATGTGGAAATCGGTGTGCCCAGCATTTTTTTCCAGTTGGCAATCCCAGCGAAGGCAAAAAAAAATGCCCTGCGGAGAGCCAAAAAATCTGATTACTAAGTGATACAAGGTGGTGTCCCCCGTTCGATAGCTAAGTTGGCTGGTTGGTGGTATACCTAACCCTCTGAAAAATGATGGAGTTCGTAAGGAATTGCAATTAATTTGGGTTCAATTGCAATTAATTTGGGTCCGGTTTTTTGAATGTGCCTTGGGCCATGTAGATCATATATATATATATATTGATATATGTGATGTTGATTTTCACGTGCAGATATAGTTGGTATTTGCAGTGTGATACACACATATTGTATATGTAATTAAATAATTATATATATATATTTTTTTTTGTCTTGGGCCTCAGTGTCAGTGTTGGACATCCAAAAACAATTTGTCTCATATAGACTATATACATATTTCTTGGTATAACATATATTTATATAATACATGCATACAGAAATGTATGCGATTCTCTTGGCGGCCTTTCTGCGTCAGATTTGTTTGCCTTACTAAGGTAAAGTGCATGCAACCAAATTTGCAGTTGTTTTTTTTTGGATACTTAGAGGATTGAAATGACCAACTTTCAAGTTCGAATAGCTTGAAGATAGAATATTCTTAGAACATAATTCAACATAAGTTGTAAGATTTTGAATCATGCGCTTAACGTACATTCGGCCATGTATAGGGGCTTAAAAGCACATCGAAGCTCGCTGCGCTGAAAATTCAAGATTCCACGACAGCTTGATTGAAATATTGAATCCCCTACGTAGCATAATATCAGGCCGCTCATGGATGTTAAGGTGCTCTGTTTTTTAAATTACTGCAAGATTTCTGCCAATTTTTCTGGTAATATTCTATCCCTTGTATAATCAACATTCTTCAAGAGCTGTCAAGCACTTTAAGTTAATTGGATTCAAAATTTGTCTTGGCAATATTCGATCTTTGATCCACTGAAACTCAAGAGTAAATTAAAAGCCTGGACAGTCCCCAGAAAGTTTAAAGTAAGGGATTGAGTGAAGATTGTCCGATGTTTCTTTTGGAAATGTTCAATGTTGAAACCACTGGAACTACATAGTGTAAGATCGGGACCAGCTTTAGAACAAATCATAAGTACAGGATTGACATTGAAGATTGGTCCAGAACCTTTCCAGGTTCCTGGAACAACCTAAGCATAGGTACAGGGCACTATACACAACATTCAGTTGTATAGATATTGCACTATGCAACAATCACATTGTCTTTATTCTTGCCCTTATATGTGATTGGAATGAACCACATATAAATATGCATTTAGGAATGCTGTTTTCCTTGATGGTTAGCACCTCCCCTCCAAGGAATATAGCACATTTGAAAGAAAGCCTCCAAGTCCAACACCTTAAGGGAATTGACGGTATCTGAACGGAACTTTGCCTTGCCTGCAATGCTGCCCCTGGTAAGTCAAAATTATATATTATGACCCTACATGTGTATATATATATATACATATTTAATTATTATATATATCTCTCTCTCTCTCTCTTTCTCTTTCTGTCTTATATGTGTGTATGTGCACTGCACTAAAGGAATGCTGCGCATAATTATGGAGCTATACGTTCTGAAAAGGATACAGATACCCCTTTGGAGAAACGCTGCGTTGTACACATAGGCTCTCAATCTTGAGGCTGCTCCTTTGCAGGGGATATTGAATTTTTGAAAAGCGCGCAAAATTTCAACAGAATAATATCTTGCAAAAGACACACCATATTTGCTCAAATGCATAGCATTATGTGAACGCATAACTACTGAAATATTGCATATTTTGATGCATTGATCTGGAGAAACAATGTGTTTTCTGAAGGCACCCAACTTCTCAATAAGACTGCTGTATGGGACTACAGCGTGCCACTTGTTGGCGGTACTTTCTGATGTAAGCACTACATATTCTTGAAGGATACGGCACTTCTTGAGCAAGTACTATTTTTTGATAAAGGGGCGTGCAATGAATACTGCACTTGCTCATGGACATGCACTTTATGCGAACGCGACCCCTTCTCAAGCAAGTGGTAGCTTTGGCTGCGATGTTTTTTGTTGGTGCAAAATTTGTTTCACTCCTGACTGCATTTTTGGCAACAAATATTGCAATTTGGAAGGGCACACCTCACCTTTATACAGACTTGCTCCATAACTTTGGTCTTGGGGGCCTAGCCGTGTAGTGGCTAGCCGTATACGTGTCCATACGAGCCCATGCCGTGAAATCAAAAACAAGTGAAACTCTGGATGGAAGCGCATGTAATGAAATTCTTTATCATCAAATGACGGAAGGGTCTGCAAATTGCCTAACATGATCAGTCGTATCACAGGCCTGCACAGAAGAATTCTGTGAGGTTGTGTGCAGCGCAGTCAGTAGGCATCCCATTATGTAGCTTGTCTAGTTGGGTTGGATCGACCAAAAATCAGGGTCTACAAAAGCAAGATTGGAGCAATATGGGGCAATCATGGTCCTCAAGATTGGTATCAATGTTTGGTGGGCTTAGTGACCACAAACACCCTTCAGAAATCTTACCAATTGAAGTCCTGAAAATTGATTCGAAAATTGTTGCTATTAATTAGGGTCCAATTATCTACCAAAGTCGATCGACTTTGGTAGAAAAGTGGGAAAATCCAGACCCAAATTAATAGCAACAATTTTGGTCTGAAAAAAAATGATTTTGTAGAAGTCAGGTTGCAAAAATGTGAACCTGACTTCTACCAAAGTCGTTTGACTTTGGTAGATGTTCCTTATCCCAGCAAAATATGGTAGATCTTGCTATCACATTTTGAAGGGTCAAGATCTACCATATTTGGTTTTGCAATGGAAGATCTACCAAAGTCAAACGACTTTGGTAGAAGTCAGGTTCACATTTTTGCAACCCAAGATCTACCATATCGATGTTTCTGAATTGCTATATATTTGGGTTTATTGCAATTTAATTTATTGCAATTTAATTTCGCTGGAATCCCCAATGCTTAAAGTATCAACCCCCACCAAACGATGGACAGATTCCACCCGTTAATGAGCATGAAATAAACACTAGTCAGTGCATGCGATACCCATGAGATTGCAGTACTTGATGAGCTGGAAACTCATCAACTAAGTCGGACCGTACCTGTTGCATTATGTACTAGTTGTGTTTTAATGAGTCTATCACGCTCCAATATTTTGGTAATTCAACGATTATGCCCCAACCAGTCCCAGTGCAATACTTGCCTGTGGGTTTCTCAGGGCAAAAAGTGCAAACCCAATAGCCAATGAAACAAAGAGGCGTGGCCCTTATTTTCACACAAACAGTGTTGCAGCCATTATCTTGTAAAGCCTCTTTCCTCAACTTCTTTGCCAAGAAGTTTCCTGAAAAAGCATGCCTACATGTAGTCAATAATACTCTTTCAAAGAAGTATTGTCATCCAGAACTCTCTCAAGGGTAAAATTGCATAAAGTGCTACTACATTGTTTATTAACGGAATATTGTGTTTTTTCAACAATCCATGGAACAACCGCATATATATATATATATATAATTATATGAGGTATGATATGATATGCATATATGTACATCATATACATGCATGTGTATATATTTATAATTACATACACACACACATATATATGTTACGGGAGAGATTTTAGTAAAGGGATGGCGCTTGCTTTCGGAGGAATGCTTATCGTTTCGGAAGAATGCCGCACATTTTGAGGACTCCCGGAACTTAAAACAATATAGGTTGCATCATGTTCAAGGAAATTCCGCGTTCTTTTCACAGAAATGCTGCGCTCTTCTAGACATTTTTTTGCACACAGCGACGCGACACTCTCTTACAAGCAAGCGGCACGCTTTTACCAATGCGCATGATATGTTGAAAGATTATATCCATGGAATATGCTGCATCTTCTCAAGGGAAGAAACTGGACTGTCTTGAAACAGTATGTACTGCATATGGCAACAGACTTTTCTGAAAGGACAGCTGTATGTCAAAGGACCGAACTTGAAAGGTAACACTATGCTTTTTATCTGTGTGGATACTGTATATCTTGAAAGACTCATTGAAAGCTAGGCTTTACTGCACTCTTGTCACAGAGCTGCTGCCCTCTCCGAAAGTGATGCTGCACTTTCCTAGGGAAAGTGTGTTCTTTGAAAATGGTTGGTTTTTTTTTCAAACTGAGTGCCTAAATCGTGTATGAAGTGAAAATTGCTTTGCTCAAAGAACACTACACTCCCGTGCAAGAGTTATTGCATAAACAAATAAATAGCATGAAGTAGCCTAGTGCAGAATCCTCAAATCCGTGGCAGCATCGGCTCAATACTTCTTTGAAAGTACAAAGCAGGGAAAACAGCTCACCACAGTCCTCAACACCCTGAACAAAATTGGTGCAAAATGAAACCTCACGTCATGTCCGAAAATTTTCGGCACCACGCAAACATATATATATAATATATGATTGCGTCTGCGTATATAAATATATGTATATATATATATATATGAAATATGAGACATATAAATATATATATATACACACATACGTCCTTTAAGCAAAATGCAGATATGGGTTTGTTGCCACTTTGCTGCCACGTGGTTCAATGTGTGTCCGTGTGTGTGTCTTCCTGCAATTGGCTGAAACTAGAGACCACGGCCCAACTCACTCATGCTGGCAAAGTATTTGGCACGTTTTGAGGAAACAGTTATATGCATCTTTTTTGTCAGGCAATTTTGCTTTCCTACCGAACAAGAAAAAAAACCTCCTTCAGTGACTTAACAAACACTGGAACACAACATGCAGCGAATATGTCCATGCGGGGTGTGTCACGCATGTAAAAAACACCACCGGGTTATCAAAGGCAAGTAATCACACGATTAAATCACACACAAATCCGGTGAAATTGGGCGTCTTGCGCGTCTTGTGACAATTCAAAAATTACTCCACGATCCAAAACCACTGGGAGCCCAAACGCGCGGAAAATACAGTAAAGAAAAGCAAAAAAGACAAAACTTTGGGCCACATGTGACCATCTTCCCTCGCTGATTGTGCTTTGTTTGTGGTTTTTGTGGGGGTTTGCTGGTGGCCCGCCGCTTCCGGATCCGAAAGGATTCCTGCAATATACCAGTCCTATTTAATGAAGCTGAGTCCCTGCATGTGATATATGCCTGAAAATAGATCTACTAATTACTAATTATTCATTAGGCGCACTTAAAAGTCACTTCATTTGTGTCTGCGGAGATTCTATGAATTTAATTTGGCAAAGAACAACAAGATTCAGAAACGCGTAGGGCTCACAGCATCCCTTCTGTCAAACACATGGACCGCTGACGGGCTTCTCCAATACCTCTGAACATGTGGTGTACATATGGATGAAAATCCCAGAATTACATGGAATGAAAAGCCCAAGGGACATTCAAAAAACCAAACCCAAATTAATTGCAATTGAACCCAAATTAATTGCAATTCCTTTCGTCAGTTGGGAGCATTCTTCCCAATATATGGAAAAATAAAATTCATGTTCCAAACCACCAACCAGTTGGTTCATAGCTCCAATTACTATGGTTTTTGTAGGTGATATCTCGAACTAGTTAATTAATGGGTTTATAACCAATAAAAATAACTGGGGCACCACCTAAAGTACCTGGTACTTCACCCCGGTGCCTCAAATTTGATCGCAACATCTTCCTGGAAGGCTGGCGCAGTGCGCTGCTTTTCCGCATGCGAAACACGCAACATGATTCTTTAGTTTCAGAACGAGTGAATGATATATTGTTTAGAATTTAGAAGTTCATTAGTGAGTGATACATAGTGATATGATACGGACCCATCTATATAATATGTATATATATATATATGCACGATGTGTGTGATGTATATTTATAACTCTAATTAACTACATATATTATATTAGACAGATAGGAAGATCAATCCTCAATCCTTGCATCATTAAAGTTCCATTGTGCAAACATACTAGACTAGCTTAATGGTGACCCCGCCACTTTCCAGCACGGCCAAGAAAAAATAACAATTTCACCAAGCTAAACTGGATTAAAGTTCTTCAACGGATCATTCAATGTACTTCGTAAACAGACAATCGCAACGCAGACCCTCTCAATAGATTGGTTTAAGCGAAAATTTTAACCGGAAAGCCCCATGTTTCATGGGAAAATCCATGGTTTCCGGTCGATTTTCCCTTAAACCAATCCATTGACCTTCATGGAAAGTCAGAGGGTAGTGTTTACCGTTTTACATATGTTTAAAGTATTCAGTTGAGGGCCCCCCTGAGTTTAACTGGGGATGAGTCAAATTTAGCAGTCAAACAGATGGTCTCATAATGTCAAGCCTGGATTAATAAACCCCAAACGGCTATCGAATTGGGGGGGTGCCATTTAAAAGTACCAGCATTATATTATCACTATTCGGGGACTACCCCCTAATTAAGAACAATGGTTTAATATTTTGAGGTCAATACTTTCTTCGAGGGAACATGAGAAGTATCAAGATAATGTTAAGTTCATATTTACAAGCAGCTCAAATTCATCAACACCCACATGCCAAAAGAAAATTGGCAATACTACTTTGGGTTGGTCCCTCCCTATAAGTTTAAACATGTGTGACCCCCCTATTAAACAACACCTTGCTCGGAAATCTTCATCTGGTGGTAGTCAGGATATGATTTTGGCTTAAATTAGATGGTTTTATTTTTATATAATTGCGTTTTTTTTGTTGAAAAAGTAATGTTTTGAAGGAATGTCCCATGCCCAATCTCACCATCTCACCCCATTGGGAGGGATGTTGCCACAGAAAACAGAAATGTCGACACATTGGCAGGCAGGTTGCTTGTTTCTTTGTAAAACGAGCCCTGATTTGTTGATTGAGGGGACTCTTATCTTCTAGGGCAGGTTATTAATACGCACTTGGTACTAATTCAAACTCAATCCCCTTTCAAGATAATTATCATGGAATTCACAAACTATGGATAATTCTCATATATTATCATATATCACTATGAGTAAACTATGGTTTCATCCAGGGTTGACATGAATCCCATTCCCAAGCAGCTGCTACTGTGTGGAAATCCTCTACATCCACCAATTTCGTTGGGATGCATGTGTTGACGCTGCGGTATGACATATGATCCGGCACATCCCATAATAGTTCGGCCATTTGGGGATGATTCCCCGCAAACTAACCATGATTCCAGGCTTCGGGAGGACAGAAATACGGTCGTTATAATTTACCCGGATATGGTTACAAACAAGTTATGTTGGAATTGATTAAAACTTTATAGACAAATGTGTGCACATGTTGAAACTACAAAGGCAACTTCATGTGCGAGCGTCGACCTGCTCATCGAAACACAAACATGCAAGGTATGGTTTCAAAACTGCATCCACTACAGTAGTCATATGAATTATTCTTCGAATCTGTTTACACGTCCCGTCCCATCTAAAGCAACAAAACATGAACCGGGGCCTAATCAGCCAGATACTCTGCAAAAAATGACAAATTCTTAGCTGGTGAACATAGAAAATCCACCAAAAGACATAGCAGGAAAGAGACATAGCAGGATTTTCGTTTCTACCCATCCAGTCGATTTTTCCCTAGGAACAACATGTTTCACAACCTCCGGATCCTGGACCCTTTAAAAGGTATTTGTGAAATTTGGAGATCATCATCCTCAGCACCGGCATTTCACCTTCGTGTTGGTGTTGAATCCTTTGTACACCTGCGAGCAACGACCAAACGTCGGAACTTTCGAACGAACTGGTTGGAGATCTGTGGAGACCGATCGGAAAAACTCGACCCAAGAAGTTTTTTCGGGTAAAGTTTAGGGTTTTAATTAGGATTTAATGGGGTTTAATGGGATTTAATGATGTTAATTGGGATTTAATGAGGTTTAATTGGGATTTTCCATGGGTTTTAATGGGATTATAATATATTATAATCCACTGAATGGAATTTACCCGGCCTGGGAAACGTTTACAGTTTGCGAACTTGAACATGGCTAGACATAGTTTAAGTTGATTTACTCATTAACCATGGTGATTTTCGATAGCTAGGTAAACCATCTATTTTTATGGGTCATCAATACCATGGCGAACTGTTAGTCACAACCAGAGGGTAATTTTGGAGTGTCCCCCATAACTAGACACACCTATCTGGGTTCTGGTCTCTGGTGTAGTTTTCGACCTAGTGGTGAAATTCTAATGTGGTCAATTGACAGTCAGACATAGACTGGTTGGTGGTATACCTACTCCTCTGAAAAATGATGGAGTTCGTCAGTTGGGATTATTCCCAATTAATATGAAAAAATAATCCAAATGTTCCAAACCACCAACCAGTACAGGATGGGGCCCCCCAGCTACAAGTTGGTTTATAAACCATCATAATCCCCATTAACTATAGTTATATCTATATCTACCATAAACCATTGTTGAGCCACTTATAAACCAACTGAACGCTATCTTGGGGGCCCCATCCTGTAGACTTTGTTGGGATGATTCTCCTCAAAATCCAAGCGCCTCAGGGTCATATCATTAGGATTTGCCTCTGAAAAGAAACCAATTCTCGCATGCAAGGTGAGTTCCCCCGATTTTCACGAAATCGCTAAGTAGGTTGACGCACAGAACTGCCTTGGTTAAGTGTTGGGTTGATGAATGGGGTAGATATAAGTATATAGTTAGCCTCTGGTAAACATACAAAAAACGATGGAAAATCACCATTTTTAATAGGTAAAATCAACAATTTCTATGGGCCATGTTCAATAGCAAACTGCAAACGTTTACCAGAGGGTACCCTCCAGGAATCAACCATGGCGAGGTTTCGTTCGCTGGGGAAACCATCGAACGAAATTTCAATGGGAGGAATTTTGGAGCAAACCATGTTTGATTACTCTAGGGGGTACGGGGATATAGCTGAGTCCTGGCACCCTGGCATCCAAACGGTACTCTAAAATAGCTGGTGAGTGGATGCTTATTCCCTCAAATATGATGATAATAATACAATGTGGGGCCCCCAAACGTTATAAGTTGATTTATAACCGCATGTAACTAGTTCATACTAGTTCGTCACAAGTACCATAAAAAGTAGTTATTGTAGTTATTTGCACCAACTTAGCTATCGAACAGGGCCCCACATTGTAGGTTTTGCCTCATCCCCAAATGAGTGAGTTGTTCCCCGAGATGTTCAAAGTTACAACGGAAATTGGGACACAGGGCTCTCCAAGATGAAAAGTTCCCAGCTGGGTTCTACAAATGGAAAATCAGCATTTTTGGGGGGTATCATGTTGTTGGTTTTAACATGGAACACCATTTTAAAAAATACCGAAAAGTGAGAAACCTGGAAATATGCAGGAAATAGCATCTCTAGCATCCTGCAAACACTTGGACGAAAAATCTTCTTGGGGTTGCTTCATAAGGTTATAATGTGGTAAACCCACTTAATCAATTTGCGGATAGTTGATACAACATGATACAACCTATGTCTAGTAATATTGGGGATAGTTCATTGTACTGTTAGTCTTCATCCTGCATTTAAGTTTGAAGTCCCCAGACTGCTATATGTTCATTGCCACAGCTTCTGCATTGGATCTTTCCCATGATCCCTTTCTTTGTTGCTTAGTTATACGTATCAACGCAATTCAACGCATGCTTAAAAAACTGAATTAACTGTGGAGTGCTTTGGCTACCCTGCGGTTCGGCATCTCACTTTCACAGGGGCAGCACCAAGAGAATCGAGCACCAATCCAAACCAGCAGCACCCCATTTCCCAACCACAAACGTCTTCCGACTCCGGGAGCCTCATTTTCATACCCATCTCAGATTCTAAGATATTATATATCAAGAAAAACATGATTTAACAAATTTCAATGGGAAACACTATAGAAACACTATTTCAATGGGAATAATTATACCGAATTATACCCTATAAAAACATCCAATGATTCCCATTGTATCTTTATAAAACTGCTTTATAAAACTGGTCGTTCCCATTAAATGGATACCATCTGGTTATTTAACAGTTCGCCAGAAAAATCACCATTTTATAGCTAGGTAAACCATCTATATTTCTATGGGCCATTTCCCATAGCTATGTTAAATAACCGGAGGGTATATTTCTTCAACAATGCGACCCACAAATTACCCAACACCGCGAAGTTTCAAGCCTCGCCAAAGCAACTGGCCCCCAGTTTCTTCTGCACCTGGATCCTCGGTGCGGGGGTTGCTATTGGATTTATACTATATCTATGGTCTGTTTATATGGATTTATATGGATTTTATATGGATTTTATATGGATTTATATGGATTTATATGGATTTTATATGGATGGTATATGGATTTATATGGATTTATATGGATTTTATATGGATTTTATATGGATTTATATGGATTTTATATGGATTTATCCTAGATATATCATGATATATCTATAGTCTATAGGTGAAAGTTAGTACATACCCCAATCAAACAAAGATAATCATCACCATGTATATATATTCATATATATATTTATTTATTTATTTATTTATTTATTTCACATATATCACCATAATTATAGTGAACTTCATCAACTTAGCCACTGAACTCACTGGAGCCAGATGGCCAGATGCATCACGTTCCATGGTGCTATTCTCAGTAACTCCAGTCCTCCTCTGACTGGAGAAATCCGATCTTTTTTTCGCTTCGTTTTTACAATGTTACAAGTACCCTCTGGTAAACTAACATAACTATGGAAAATCACCATGCTATTAATGGGAAAACTCACTATAAATGGCCATTTTCAATAGCAAACTGTAAACGTTTACCACAGGGTAAAGGGGACACTTCCCCCATCCAATCGGCGCTTAAAGTGATGCAACGAATCCAGTTTATACTGGCCACCGGCGGCAAAAAGTGGAGGGATAAAACTGATAGCCTAACCTTGATGATGAAAACCTGTCTTTAATGGCTACATCGACTATTGGTCGTGGGTCGTGGGTCGTGGACATTTACCCGCAAAATGGTCGTGGGATTTTTGGAAGTGGACATGAAAAGCGGACATTTCCTCAATAAAATACGGCAATAAGCCTGAAAACTCGCCAGCTTTGTAGAGAGATACAGTAGCCTCTGGTAATCAAACATGGCAATGGAAAATCCACCATTGACAAATGGGGATGGGTCAAAACCCTGGTACCTAGTGAACCCCAAAATAGCTGGTAAATGGATGTTCATCCCACTAAAAATGTATCTATAGGTATTAACCCATACCCAAATGATTGTCCCACGAAAATCTCCAGTTGGTGCGGGGAATCAGCCGCCCGCCACGGCCATGATGACACCTCTTCATGGCTGGAATCCCAGCAAGAATACCCTCTGGTAAACTAACATGGCTATGGAAAATGGCCCACTTATAGATGGTTTACCTATTAAAAATGGTGATTTTCTATAGCTATGTTAAATTACCAGAGGGTAAGTAATGATTGACCGATGCAACGAAGGCCCGAAAACCTCAAAGAACAACGTTCATAACGACTGGACATTTTTCGTTGCCAAGCTTTGCAAGGTACATGATGAGGCTGGAAGAGACCTCAAGGTTACCCTCTGGTAAACAGCCACGTAACTATGGGAAATCACATTGTTTAATGGAAAAATCAACTATAAATGGCCATTTTCAATAGCTATGTAAATGTTTACCAGAGGGTATCCTTCTTGGTTTAGAATGGTTTACCCATGAATACCATGTGATTTTTTTTTCGCCCAGTAAACCCAACAGTCCACCAAGATTGTCGAAGATCTCGCCAGGAACTGGAGGGTTCTGAAGTTTTCTTTAAAGATGAAACAAACAGCTTAGGAACCCGAGTTTGGGCTCAAAAAGCCACAGTAACATGTTGCACATCCATCATTTTTTTCGTCTTTTTAGATCTTTTTCGACCAACCTTCGACCTGTTCTAAACCCTCGAGTTTCCTATAAAGATTGCAAAAATCATCCCATAGATGTGCTGTTTTAATTACATTGTTTTCTCATATCTTTGTGGGTTCACTGTCAAGTTACCTACGAAAATATTGCCGAATTCTTCTCCACTGGTGAACCTAACCCCTGCAAAGAAATTGAAACGAATTGCCGAACATACATTGTTGTTTAAAGATATCCCTCACAAGCAGTGTTGGTTGATATCCTATACGTTTCAGTCGAAATGATTCGAAAAAAGAATGTATGGGTGCATGGGTGACCATACTTTAGATACATGAAACTGGAAAATGATACATGAACCATTAAACATGCCACTATTCCATCTCTGGAAATAGTAGCTAGTTGATGGGTTCCCCTCCAACGGCTTGTCTTTTTTTCCTTATCATGATCCCCAAGAAATTAGGTAGTATAAGAGACACATTACCCTCTGGTAAACATTTACATAGCTATTGAAAATGGCCATAGAAATAGTGGATTTTCCCATTCAAAATGCTGATTTTTCCATAGCTACGTTAAATTACCAGAGGGTAACCAATCAACCAGTCGGTATTTTGTTCAGACCTCACATGAAATTCACCAATCATTCACCAGTCGGTGTCGCAAAACACTGGTGTTTTACTGCTATACATATACCAAAACATACAAAAACATACAAAGACACACTTCAAAAAGATATAGAAAAAAACATGAAAAGCATAATTTTACCTGAAGTATATGTTCACTCTCTTTAGATTCGTTTTTTTTAATCAACTTCATCCAAGTTCGAACTTCGGAGCTACGTGGAACTTCATCCAAGGGACTGTCCAGAGTTTACAGTTGCAGGCACCTTCGGCTTGCTGGACGCCTAGGGCGAATGGAAATCGTAGGAACCCAGGAGTTTCATATGTCGCCGGCCTAGAGTAAACGTTTGCAGTTAGTTTGGGATTTAATGAGGTTTAAATTGGATTTAATAGGGTTTAATTGGGATTTAATGAAATTTAATTGGGATTTAATGGGTTTTAATTCGGATTTAATGGGGTTTAATGGGATTATAATCCACTGAATGGAATATACCCTCTGGTAAACGTTTACAGTTTGCGAACTTGAAAATTGCCATTTAGTTCGTTGATTTACCCATTAATAGCATGGTGATTGTCCATAGTTAAACGTTAGTTTACCAGAGGGTATGGATGTTGCACATAGAAACATGTAGAAATCATCTGGTTGGTGGTTTCAACCCCTCTGAAAAATGATGGAGTTCGTCAGTTGGGATGATGACATTCCCAAGATATGGAAAAGTAAAAAATGTTCCAAACCACCAACCAGTATATAAAGGAATGTTTTGTTTCAAATATGGATGTTTCATGATGTTTCATCAAAAAAAACATAGGGAACTTGGCAAACCAAAGAAAAGAGGATAACTATCATGGAAGTTTCAGAGTACCCAAGGAACCAGCTGGGTGACCCAAAGGCAAAATGAAACCATCACCAAATAACATTACCATCTGGTTATTTAACATAGCCATGGAAAATCCACCCATTCTTAATGGGTAAACCCAGGTAAACCATCTTTTTTTATCGGCCATCCATACCATGGCTAACTGTTAGTCATAACCAGAGGGTAATATGCAATCATGTGTTTTTTCAAACGGCGATGGGTCAAACTTAGGATACTTTACAAGGTGAGACCTCGAGGATAGCCCCCGGCCTTGCCAAATCACGACAGCTTGACGTTTAAGTTTTAAGCATTGATCATTGGTTAACTGTTGGGTTGATTAGGAGGATATAACATGAGATAACGAACTAGTATGAAAAATGGGTTTATAATAGAGATTTATATAACAGGGATGACTCAACTACTATAGAGTATTGATGGGATTATAACTCCAATAACTATGGTCTACAAGTATGGAGGGATATAACTATAGTATGGGTGTATCAACCAACAAACATAGCGTGTGGCGTCCTCACCTTGCAGCCTCAAACTTTGGCACCGAAATCTGCAGAAGTTTGGGAGTTTAGCACCCCAAAGTCACCTGTAACCAGCAACAACACGGAGCCCTGCTTGGATGGGCCATGGATAGTTAACTGGGCAGTGGAGTTACAATGTGGTGCCCCAAAGATAGCTAAGTTGCTGAACATAACTACAATAACTAGGCTTTATGGTAGTTGTAACTGTGGCTAGATGGGCTTATAAACCAACTTATAGGGGGGCCCACCTTGTATAAACCACTTACCCTCTGGTAACCTAACATAGCTATGGAAAATCACCATTTTCAATGGGAAAATCCACTATAAATGGCCATTTTCAATAGCTTTTTGTATGTTTACCAGAGGGTACCAACCATTTGGCATTGCGGGCAGGTCCTGGCATGGCACACACTCCGCATCACTCCTTGCGTAAAACTCGTTTTTTCATTTGACCAAGTCTATGGGGGCTTGTCCAAGTTATACCCTCTGGTAAACATACAAAAAGCTATTGAAAATGGCCATTTATAGTGGATTTTCCCATTGAAAATGGTGATTCTCCATAGTTATGTTACGTTAGTTTACCAGAGGGTAACCCCCCAGAAAAAACCTAGACTTTGGGCAAAATCATGCAAAATCCCACGAAAAATTACTGAAGACTTGAACCTGTTCATCGGATTAAGTGAATCTGGCTGAGTTAATCCCATGAAACATCATGGAAAATCCCATGAAACATCATGGAGCATCCCATTTTTGGATCTATTTGCGGGGTTAAGTCGGCTAAGTGAAAAAGGGCTGAAGGAATCTGAGGCTTCCCACAGAGGACATCACCTCGCTCGGCCGGTGTTCCGAATGTGTTCACAACGTTGGACGCCATGGAAATACCACATATGTTTTAGGGGAAAAAAGAAACTATTCTATGATATTCCCTATTCCATGATATTCCCACTATATCCCTATGTTTGATTTAAATAAATGTATGGGAAAATAAAAAATGTTCCAAACCACCAACCAGTATATATGTGTGTTAGGGGGAAAAAGAACGGTTTGGGTTTCATCCCCATTGTAAATAATAATATGAGTATTTCCATGGGTAAATATACATAATGTAAAATAATTTATATACATATTTATCGCCCCATAGGCTATTTTATTGGTAAATAATATACATCGTGCTAAACGTAGGGAATTTTCGGGAATTTTCAGGAATGATCCACTGGCGAGCTATCAATGATAATCCCAGCAACCCCCATCAACCCATCCATTCCCGCCTACGTAAAACGCACCAGTAAGTTTTCCATATACCCTCTGGTAAACGTTTACGTTTAACTATGGAAAATCACCATGCTAATGGGTAAATCCACTAGTTCGACTGGGCCATGGCTTCACTATGAGTAAATAATATATATATACATAATTATAGCCTATAAAAACATCCAATGATTCCCATGAAGTCTCTCCATAAAACTGCTTCGGGAAGCATAAGCAATTGAGCCAAAAAAAAGTTATACCAAGTTCTCCAGTTCTCCCATCTCATGAAATACGTTAAGTTGTATGAAAACGGTTTCCCATGCCTATGGGGCCCATCATCATCCCCAGAATTATCAGGGTAGTATAATCCCCTATAGCAATCAATTACCCTCTGGTATACTAACACGACTATATGGAAAATCACCATTGTTCATGGATAAATCAACTATTTCAATGGCCATTTTCAATAGCTTTTTGTATGTTTACCAGAGGGTAACCAGGGTATTTTGTTCATGGCTCAATTTGCTTGGTTGTTCCCATAAAATGGATCGCCCATCAAACATCGGGTCATGTTCCCACCCTATTCCTGACATTTGAAAAACACACCCGCTGATGATAAAGGGCTGGTCCAACGTTGGTTTATTATAACCCACCTATCTCTATAGATATATCAATGATATATCCACTATTATCATCTACTATCAATATATCTATGATGATAATACTGGACATCTATGATGATCATAGTGGATAATATAAATTATCATCAACTAGTATCCATCTGCGATCCATCATAAATCCAATCGTTAGCCTTACAACCACCTTCGCCATCGTTTGGGCTTCCCCTTCCTGGAAGGAGATTGCCCTCCAACATCTTTTTGACCCTCCGAATCCAAACTTCAATGTCCCTACAGTGGCAGGGTGTAGGTCCCTAGGGTTGGGATGGCAACTACCTTGATCGCTTTGTTTAAAGATATGCGAACTGTTTTCACCATGCCAGACCGGCAACTCAGTTGGCGATTTTGAAAAAAACGACGCTCTAACAGGTCAGAATGATAAGGAGAGATGTGTTTGACCTTTTGATGATACATCATGATACATCACTGCATCCTGCAGTATCATCCAAAAAAATGGATGGTGAAGTACTAAACATTACCGACATTACCAATTGTGTGGGTCCACTGACACCCCGTTTTTTCGGATGTCCCATTGTGAGTTTAGACAAATAAGTGGGGCCTATATATATATATACTATAGACACCATCCACAGGGAAAATATCATTTTTGGATCTTCAAGACACTGGTATACCATGGTATACCCCAGTTTGGGGGCTCCCAGTCAACTCTTTCTTGGCCGAATGACTGGGTGAAAGCCAACGAAAATAGCAAAGTACCCCCTGGTAAACGTTTACATAACTATTGAAAATCACCATGCTATTAGTAGGTAAATCAACTATTTCGACAGGGCCATGGCTTCAATGTCACAGACTGTTGGTCATTACCAGAGGGTAAACATCCATTTTCCTATGGTTTTCCTATGTTTAAATCCCCAGAGGGTAAGGTTTCCGAAGTTGTTAAGGTGCACTCGTGCCACACTGTCTCCCCAAACGCCAAGGGACGCAGAGTTAAATCTGTCGAAAAAGTGCACCAGTTTTGGAGTAGCGAGCAATGTGCGTTTTTCTTAAAAATTTGATTTGTGGACATGATTTTCAAGCTGATTGATTTCTGAAGTGATGTTTATATATTTTTTGGAAAACCTTGTGGGTTGTCTGTGTTGACACAGTGAAAGGCTCGGCTGGTGCAATTGTTGGGAAGTGGGTTCAAGATGTCTTGAGAAACTGAAAACTGGCCGCCACTCTGAATTTGAAGTGGGGTGACATCACCAAGATAAATTTTGAAATGGCGATCAACCTAAAACATATCAAGTATCTCAAATGATTTCACTGTAGATTTTGACTTCAAAATGATTGCGGCTTGAAATTATGTGACATTTTCAGATTAATTCAGATGATATCAGTTCCATCTAAGATGATCACTTTAAGACACTCGATCTTGTTTTGGTTCCTCAGGGCGCCCTCACGGCTTCCCTTTCCCGGAACCCTGAGCCATGGGTTTTGCGAACTGGACTTGTTGAGAGCAGGGGTGCAGAGGCTTCCAACGTCATGATGAGTCATGACTATCCCAATTTATACAGTGATGCTCACCCCCTCAGTATTTTCACACGACACACCAAAGAGAATTTCATAGAATTTACACACGTCACACCAAAGAGAATTCAAGACCAACTACCCTCTGGTAAACGTTTACATAGCTATTGAAAATGGCCATTTATAGTTGATTGACCCATTAATTTTGCATGGTGATTTTCCAGTTCGTTATGTTAAATTACCAGAGGATTCTGGTTGGTTTACAGGGATTCCCCGTTCTTGGATGATTATAATCCCTGATATCCAGAGGCCCATTGGATTCCAACGGAGCCATGCTGTGTGGTTTTTGTTGGCCGACGAACATCACATTTACAACATTTACCGTTTGGTACCCTCTGGTAATTTAACATAGCTATTGAAAATGGCCATTTATAGTGGATTTTCCAATAAAAAATAGTGATTTTCCATAGCTATGTTAAATTACCGTTTGGTAATGACTCACAGTTAGCTATTGAAAATTAAATTTACCCCTAAGTTATAGTTTATAGTTGATCTACCCATTAATTCAATTGCATGGTGATTGTCCATTCAACATGGGTGATTTGTTTGGAAAATTCCAAGCTATGATCCATTCAGATCCCAAGGTGGGTCAGAGCGAGTCAGAAATCGGGGACCGTTGTTGAGTGGCCAGTAAATTTGACCATCATGGAGCATATGGGTAAGTGAAATATGGATCTGTTTTTTTTTCTGACCCCAACCCCCGGATAATTTGATTGTGTTCCAATTTTTTGGGGTGAAATTGCCAGTCCTAGAATTGCTATATATTACATGGTAACATCGCAAATGCAAAGCAACCCTTTCAATACTTGGCCGCCCACAAAAAGATTGAGATATCAGAACCCTGTGTCGTTCCAGTACACTAGTTGGCCAAGAACGGGATTCTCAGTTCATGGATAATGATCACCCACAATATATTTGATGGTATAACGCCTTAAATTATGATCATCAACCAACTACCATTCAACGATAATGTATCAAATGATCTTCCCATTTTGATGCTTAAAATATGTTCAAATCATAATAGATAAGGGTGAACTCCCATTAAAAGATCCCATGGAAACAACTGGGTCCCAGTTCGGTCGCACAGCGGACTCCCGCGCACCGTTGGCATCTTGCTTTGGCCGTCCTTGGCATAGCTCAACCCTCGCGGATTGGATGGTTTGATTTCAGGGGGATGTTTTGATGGATGTTGGGGATGTGACCTGTTTCAACATCCATTGTTGTATAAACCAAACCCATTAGTATAGTATGTTGGTAATGTGACCAATACACCAAACATACATAGTTGAGTATACTTATTCTTTGATGTATTCTGTAACATTCTGTAGCTATGTAACACTGAATGGGTCTATTGATGCGACCATGTAGTTGCTCCAATGGAAGGCACCAATCCAAACCAGCACTTAACATTTGACATATTTAGACATCATTTCACCATGGCACCAACTCCAAAGTTGGGCCCCAATATCCTCCGCACGACTGGAAAATCCAGCGTATAGTCAGTTGGGTGATGGGTTATACTGCAATCTATAGAACCACTATAAAACCACTACAAATCCATATATTCCTGGTTGGTGGTTTCAACCCCTCTGAAAAATATGAAAGTCAGTTGGGATGATTATTCCCAACTGAATGGAAAAGTAATCCATTCATGTTCCAAACCACCAACCAGATATAGTATATGAAATATTCCCATGGAATTTTCCATAAATGACATATTCATCATGGAAATCAGATTCCCATTTTTTGCAAAAAAAATGATATACTTGGTAAAAGTAATGGATTTTCCATTCATGTTCCAAATGTTAATCCATTCATGTTCCAAATCACCATGGTAAAATTTGGGTTTTCCCCCATCTGACCCATCTCAGCCACGTGGCAGGAAGCGAAAACATCGCGCTCGAGAACATCCCCAGGCTGGGGATGGCCCCAGGCAACCCTCACGCGAGGCGGGGTTGAGGTGGGGGGCCCTCGAACTCGATAGCGTTCAGGTGGAGAAGATATCTCCAATAACTTGGTTTTTGATGGTTTTTGATGGTTAATAACTTGGTTTATGATGGTTTTTGATGGTTTTTGATGGTTAATAACTTGGTTTATGATGGTTTTTGATGGTTTATGATGGTTAATAACTTGGTTTTTGATGGTTTTTGATGATTCATAACTTGGTTTATCATGGTTTATGATGGTTAATATTTTTTAATGGTTTATGATGATTCATAATTTGGTTTATGATGGTTTTTGACGGTTAATATTTTTTAATGGTTTATGATGATTCATAATTTGGTTTATGATGGTTTAGGATGGTTAATATTTTTTAATGGTTTATGATGATTCATAATTTGGTTTTTGATGGTTTAGGATGGTTAATATTTTTCATGGTTTATGATGATTCATAACTTGGTTTATGATGGTTTATGATGGTTAATTTTTTTGATGCTTTATCATGATTCATAACTTGGTTTATGATGGTTTATGATGGTTAATATTTTCTAACGGTTTATGATGATTCATAATTTGGTTTATGATGGTTTATGATGGTTAATGTTTTTTAATGGTTTATGATGATTCATAATTTGGTTTATGATGGTTTATGATGGTTAATATTTTTTAATGGTTTATGATGATTCATAACTTGGTTTATGATGGTTTATGATGGTTAATATTTTTTAATGGTTTATGGTGATTCATAATTTGGTTTATGATGGTTTATGATGGTTAATATTTTTTAATGGTTTATGATGATTCATAACTTGGTTTATGATGGTTTATGACGGTTAATAGTTTTTAATGGTTTATGATGATTCATAATTTGGTTTATGATGGTTTATGATGGTTAATGTTTTTTTAATGGTTTATGATGATTCTTAATTTGGTTTATGATGGTTTATGATGGTTAATATTTTTCATGGTTTATGATGATTCATAATTTGGTTTATGATGGTTTATGATGGTTAATATTTTTTAATGGTTTATGATGATTCATAACTTGGTTTATGATGGTTTATGATGGTTAATATTTTTTAATGGTTTATGGTGATTCATAATTTGGTTTATGATGGTTTATGATGGTTAATATTTTTTAATGGTTTATGATGATTCATAACTTGGTTTATGATGGTTTATGACGGTTAATAGTTTTTAATGGTTTATGATGATTCATAATTTGGTTTATGATGGTTTATGATGGTTAATGTTTTTTTAATGGTTTATGATGATTCTTAATTTGGTTTATGATGGTTTATGATGGTTAATATTTTTCATGGTTTATGATGATTCATAATTTGGTTTATGATGGTTTATGATGGTTAATATTTTTTAATGGTTTATGATGATTCATAACTTGGTTTATGATGGTTTATGATGGTTAATATTTTTTAATGGTTTATGGTGATTCATAATTTGGTTTATGATGGTTTATGATGGTTAATTTTTTTGATGCTTTATCATGATTCATAACTTGGTTTATGGTGGTTTATGATGGTTAATATTTTTGATGGTTTATGATGATTCATAATTTGGTTTATGATGGTTTATGATGGTTAATATTTTTTGATGCTTTATCATGATCCATAACTTGGTTTATGATGGTTTATGATGTTTAATATTTTTTAATGGTTTATGATGATTCATAACTTGGTTTATGATGGTTTTTGATGGTAAAGAACTTGGTTTATGATGGTTTATGATGGTTAATAGCTTGGTTTGTGATGGTTTATGATGGTAAATAACTTGGTTTGTGATGGTTTATGATGGTAAATAACTTGGTTTGTGATGGTTTATGATGGTAAATAACTTGGTTTTTGATGGTTTTTGATGGTTAATAACTTGGTTTGTGGTGGTTTATGATGGTAAATAACTTGGTTTATGATGGTTTTTGATGGGTAATAACTTGGTTTTTGATGGTTTATGATGGTAAATAACTTGGTTTGTGATGGTTTATGATTGTAAATAACTTGGTTTATGATGGCTTATGATGGTTAATAACTTGGTTTATGATGGTTTATGATGGTAAATAACTTGGTGTATGATGGTTTATGATGGTAAATAACTTGGTTTGTGATGGTTTATGATGGTAAATAACTTGGTTTATGATGGTTTATGATGGTAAATAACTTGGTGTATGATGGTTTATGATGGTTTATGATGGTAAATAACTTGGCTTATGATGGTTTATGATGGTAAATAACTTGGCTTATGATGGTTTATGATGGTAAAAAACTTGGTTCATGATGGTTTATGATGGTAAATAGCTTGGTTTATAATGGTTTATGATGGTTTATGATGGTAAATAACTTGGTTTATGATGGTTTATGATGGTAAATAACTTGCTTTATGGTGGTCTCTGATGGTAAATAACTTGGTTTATCATTGTTTGTGATGGTTTATGATTGTAAATAACTTGGTTTATGATGGTTTATGATGGTTTATGATGGTTTATGATGGTTTATGATGGTAAATAACTTGGTT